AGAGAGAGGGGGAGACCGGTACGGAGAGAGGGGAGTCTCCACTGATGTTGATGATGAGATGGCGGGGCACAAAAGGTACACAAAATTCAAACGAAAACAAATATTTGTATGGAAGTCATGGAGTCGTATACGGAATACCCACATGACGGCAGGCGGGAGGAGGGAGACGGCAGGCGCGAGACGGGGAGAGTGCTCCATTTTGAATGAGGGCAGGGTCCTCCTCCTGCTGCTCTGTGTGAAACTGCCATAAAATATTGCCACTAAAAGACAGTCAAAAAGTTGACTAAGAAGGCCGCAAGTTCAGATTGTTCTTCCACGCTCCACGATCCACGCTCCACACTCATGTGGGCTGTGCCACAAGACAGGACAGGGCAGAAGATTAATTATTTTGTGGTGATGCATACCGTGGAAAAGTGCCTTCAACAAAAAGAGACAGGGCTTAAAGAAAACAGGCAGAAAGGGGAAGAACTATCTGTTTTTAGGGTATCTTGGAGCTCGATCAGTGCCTGCCTCTGCCTCTGCCTGTGGCAACAAGTTGACCCGTAGGTCCCACCTCGCCATTTCTGCCCCTTGCCAGCAGTTTCCATGTTCGGCTGGCGCGTGCAGCAAATTAACACGCCCCGCCCCATAAACAACCACGAAACGGGGGAGTGCAGGAGGCTTTGGGGCTCGAAACTCCATAAGAGAAGTTAATGCCGCGTAACCTGTTAAAATGAAGCCCGTACTCCCGCTCCCGCTCCCCCTCCCGCTTCCCCTCCCACTCCAAATGGAAATGGAAGTCCTACCTTCGTTGGGGGGTGGGAGGGCGTGTGTGTGGGGGTGTGCCATAAACCACCAAACGTTGAGAGCAGAAATTATTTCCGTTTATTATTAATAAGCAGCCGCCACATTCCATGCTGCTGCTGCCACATTCCGCTGTACTCTACTGGAGGGAATTTCTGTGGAAACATAAATAGAAATGGCTAGCGAATGCCTAAAATATACGCCAGGAAAAGGCTCTTAATTAAATGCTTAAAAATAGCTATTCATTTTGCAGAAAAACAATAGAGAAGCAGTGGCAAAGGAGGGGCGGCAGCAGAGGCAGACGACCGCAAAGAGGCGGAGCTCTTGGGTGCAGGGCAGAGGCTGGAACTATACTTGAGGGCTGTCGAAATGATTACGTGCCTGGCAGCAGGAGCAGCAGCAGCAGTGGGAGGGCGAGGTGAAGAGGAACGTTCTGTATATTGTTATGACTACTCTCGTACGAGAGCAATTTCAAATGAAATGGGGGAAAGGTCTCGTAGAGATAGAGATAGACAGACAGACAAACAAGCAAAAGGTTTCTTCGGTTGCCATCAGTGCGTATGAGCAACAATCACAGCTGTAAAAATCACACATACGCACTGTGTGCCCTTTGGATCTCGACGTTGCGTTGCGTATCGCTTTATCCCCACTTTAATGCTGTCCATTTGTCGACTGTCAACGGGAATTAGGTCAAAGGATATTTTTAGAACATCCGCAGCGCATAGAAACGTACTACGAAGGAATCTTCGAGTGGGTCTGGGGGCTGGCCACTGGGCACTGGGCACTGGGGTATAGTGCGGTAGGGATGCCAATTTCTGGTTGCGTTGCCAAAATATTTAGATTCTGACAGATTTTTCATCATCTTTTCGGTCACGTCGGACAACAGGCACACAGACAAGTGTGTGCGTGTGTGCGTGTGTGTGTGTGTGTGTGTGTGTGTGTGTGCAGCAAATCAGCTTCGAAAATGGAACATGGAACATGGAGCAGGTCCCTGCCTCCAATTGAGTGCGTGACGTGACTGTTCCGGCCATTTAGCAGGAGGAAGGCTCTTGGATTGGCCATTAAACAAAAAGGGGGGCAGGGCAGGGCAGGGTAGGGGAGGGGAGGAGACTCCCTGTGGCTTACCCAAGTTTACGCTTAATATTCGCACTAATTTCATTAATTTGTTTGCTGCCTCTCGCATTTGATTTGCCAAACAGATGGATTTTTATGATGATTGTTGTTCCCCCTCCTCCCCCCCCCCCCCCAGGGTGGGGATTCTGTAGAGTGGAGAGTGTAGACTGGAGAGTGGAATGTATTCATTTCGAATCTGTCGCACACAAATCAATCAAATGCAAAACTGAACACAACCGAAACTCAAATTCAAACACAACTACAGGACTCTCCTTTTTGGCGAACCTCGAGAGGGAGCCGCCTGTCAAATCAAACTGTCAGATGGTTTCGCTTCTCTTCGTTTTTATTGCGGTTCGACGGGCTGCTGGTTATTCGATATTTATTGTCTGCCAGTTGAGCTGGAAGCATATTAATCAAAAACCCTCAGACATGGCTCCCACCGCCTGCTCTCAGACATCCAGAGCCCTGCTCTGCGCTGCGCACTCATTATAAATTCAACAAGAATCCCCCATCGAGAGATGTGTCCTCAGTCATTGTCATATATTGCCCTGACAACCAAATATCTCCATCTGATGGCAATTCAATCGTTGACCTACTTTCATGGACTACACAGCCTGGACAACTTTTTTACTTTCTCTACTTTTCTACTTATTTTCTTCGTTTCTCCCTTCGGAGACGGGTTGAGGCTGGCCATCGAGTGGGGGAGCCACTCAATCGGGACGGAGTCCAAGACTCCAACTGCTCTCACTCTCTAATTGCCGATTCCACATAACCGTCATCGGCAGCAGCAGCCTCATCATGGCCATAGACATCATCGTAATCGTATCGTAATCTGTGGGATGTCCATTGATTTGTGGCTATTTTTGGCCAAACTTTTTGTAATGGCCAAAAGTTTTCTGCCTCGATTGGTGTCACAGAAAACGGCGCAGACATTAAGTGAGAAATGAATGGCATGGGATTGGGGATGGGAATGGGGAAAGCCTATTATGATTATAATGAATAGGGGCACAAGTTGATATGGAAATGGCGATTTAATTAGTTGACAAATAGATTGAAGTGGATGGAAAAGTACAGACGAAGTGTGAGTGCCTTTAGCGGACAGACTAACGAGTAGCAAGTAACGATTAAATAGTGAGCAATCATTAGTAGAAATTTAATGGGAAATACCAGGTCTCAGCTCAGCCTTTGAAGGGCGAGTGCCTGATGTTCAAGAGATCGCTCCCCGCAGCCCCTTACCCGCTGCTGTCCCGTATATCCCGGCCGGATATCCAAGCCTGTGGGCACCATCCTTAAAGAAAAGACTATCGTTTTTTTCATCTTTTTGTCGTGTAAATTATTTTACTTTTATTGAACTTTCATTTTGCGTGTGGATTGCTATGTGGATTGCTGAGTGGTCCACCTTTAGCGGACAGACTAACGAGTAGAGAGTAACGAGTAAAAAGTGAGCAATCATCAGTAGAAATTTAGTGGGAAATACCAGCTCTCACATCAGCTCAGCCTTAGACAAGTGAGTGCTTGATGTTGCAGAGATCGCTGCCATACTCCCCGCCCCGCAGCCCCTTACCCGCTGCTCTCCCTCAGAGAGGGAGCTACCATCCTTAAAGAAAAGACTTTCGTTTTTGTCATCTTTTTGTCGTGTAAATTATTTCACTTTTATTGAACTTTCATTTTGCGTGTGGATTGCTATGTGGTTTGCTGCCTGTCCCAAACATTTCTGGTTCTGGTGCTCGGCTCTGCTCTGCTGTGTTCTGCTGTTGGTAAATAGTTGATAATACAATATTTTGTAGATGCTGCTGCTGCTGCTGCTGTATATATGTGGTATATAGTATTTATGCTGATATTGTTTCAGTATATAATCCCTCAACGGTTATTGCTTTTGCTTACGATTCATATATATATGTGTATATATGTGTATATCCGTATGTAGAATGTGTATAAACGAGTATATCTTTAGGCCTTGGATTGCATTGTATTTTACTTGAATCTTTAGGTTAAACTGCATGTAAATCTGTGTGTAAACGGCTAAAGTACGCATAAAGTACACTCTCGAGTCAAGTCAAGTCACGTCTAGTCTAGTCTAGTCAAGTTGGCTTCTTCGGCTATGGTTATTCCTACTTTTGCTGGATCTGGAGTGCTCTTTCTATAACTATACTTCATTGTTGTTGCTATATCTTATATATATATATCATTTCTGGTTGGTTTTGGCAAATAAGTTGTTGTTTTTGATTTGGAATGGAACAAGTTCTTAATGTAAATAATTGAAGTTAAGATTAAAGTTAAGGTTAAAGTTAATGTTAAAGTTAAAGTTAAAGTTAATGTTTAGGTTGTTTCGGAACATAGATAAATGCCTGACAAATTGTTGATCCCATTTAACATTCACTAAGGAAAAATCTACACTTAACTTATCCGTCCATACATTTTCTTCGGCGAAAGAAAATACTCGTACAATATTTGATTTTTTTGTTTTTGCTTTGCTTTGCTTTGACTTTTCCGAATAAAGGCACGAATCGTTTTAGGAATTTTTAAATCTAAAGGAAATCTTCTACTGCGCGACCAAAAAAAAAAAAAACCAATGAAAAGTTGAATTTTTCTTTTACAGTCTTTGGCATGCGTAGTGGTATGTGTGTGGCATGTGGCATGTGGCATGTGGCATGTGGCATGATTTTCTGATCTAGAATCAAGCGGATATATATGCATAGATGTGTGTGTGTGTGTGTGTGTGTGTCTGTACTATGACGAATGCCTCTCTACTCTCTACTTAATAATTCTTTTGTTTTATTGTATAATTCGGTATATATTTAATTTTTTGTTTTTTTTTTCAAGTGCAAAAGTTATTCAAATTTAAAAAAAAAAACATTTCTCGTTTCTCATTTCAATTCTTGTGGAAAGGAATATCCTTTTTGTTTTCTTTGTGTTTGGCGAAGACTTTCGGATATGATGGATGGGGGCAGTGGTTGGGCCGTGGAGGGGGAATGGGGGGCAGGAGGGAAAGGCTTGTTGTATCACAGATTTTGAAATGAATTTCGGATGAAGGGGGGGGAGGGGCAATGGGTAAATGGGGAAATGGTTGATGGCTAATCTCCAGGTCTAGAATCTTCTGGAATCTAACGCCTCGCATACTGACAGCAGACGGAGCTGCGGGGCACCCGCTGGGTGGGCAGGCCGGACATGCCCTTCAGATATGTGTAGGAGACGGGCTGCCGCAGAATCCTCTGCGGCGGCGGCTTTTCCTTCTCCTTCTCCTTTCCCTTCCCCTTGCCCGCTGGGGCATGGCAGGAGGCGCCACTGCCGCACTTGGAGGCGACTGTCGCAGGCTGCTGGTGCAGCTCCACATTCGAGGCGGACTTGAGAGCCGACTTCAGGGGCATTGCCGTTTGGGTGGCGGCCGCCGGGGGTGGCGGCGGCGGCGACGGGCCGCTGCACGAGAGCGAGCGTGAGGTCAGCGAGAGGCTCTCGAAGGCCCGGCGCAGCGAGGATGTGGAGCGGCGATGCAGCCGCGAGAAGCTGGCCCGGCTCGTCTGTGTCTGCTTCAGCTTCAGCTGGAGCTGCTGGCGCTGGTGGTGCTGCTGCTGCTGGTGCTGGTGCTGCTGGAGGTGCTCCTGCTGCTCCTCAATGTCCAGGGTGCTACTCGTCTCGCTGGAGGCGCACGACATGGACATCAGCTCGAGCCGCGACTGGTGTGCGGCCAGGCCACGCCCCGAGGAGCACGAGTCGGTCGATGAACTGTGTGCATCCTCCTCCTGCTGCTGCTGCTGCTGCTGCTGCTGGTGCTGCTGCACGGCTGCAACTGCCACTGCAGCGGCGGCGGCAGAGACAGCGACTGCGTCATCCTCCGACTGAAGTAGGTCATCCTGCGACCTCAGGCCGAAGCGTCGGCTCAGCTGCCGAAAGAAGCCCAGGTTCCGCTCGAACCGTGGCACGGGCGACACACTGAGGCTGCTGCCCGGGGAGGAGCACACCTCCAGCTCGGACATGGACTTCTTGCCCCCCAAATGGTTGAGATTGAAGTTGTTGTTGTTCAGGCTCCCGTTGCTGCCGTTGCTCCCATTGGAGGTCTTCTCCTTCCGCCTCGGCTTCTGGGACTGTGCCTGGGACTGTGCCTCCGACTGTGGCAGCTCGTCCGCAAAGCAAACATGAGGGGTACCCATGGAATGGCTGAAATTCAATTCAATTTCTGGCCGAAAGTAATTTCCTTTGACTGCTTCCTGATTGCCGCTTCAGGGCGGGGCGGGGCGGTGCGGTGCGAGTCTGAAGGCAGTGCAAATGGCTGCACTTCCGCTGCTTTTCCGCTGCTCTTCCGCTTCCTGTCTGCCGACACGACACCCAACACCCAATACCCAACACCCGACACCCTTCCTTTGCCGAGATCCACTTCCTTTGTTATTGTAACCGGTCTTTGTCCACGAGAGACGCCGCCGACTGCCGTTTGCCGTTTGCCGCTAGGTTTCGTGTCGTGCGTCGTGCTTCGGTTTTGGTTTTGGTTTCGCTTCGCTTTGCTTCGGGAGAGTGTGTGTTCGGTTACGTTGTCCTGCCGCGTTTGAGTCGGCAAATCGGAAGCCGCGTCCTTTTATAGACTCGCCCGGTGTCTGCGAAGGTCTGCAAGCGGCCGGGCTCTCTCGCTCGCTCTCGCTCTCTCTGCAAAGTGCCTTCCAGGACATGCCAAAGGCAGGGTACAGTGCGGTCCGAGATGTGGCGTAGAGAGTGCTGGGAGTGCCCTACCTTGCACACAATATACCCTGCACTCCCTGGCACCGCCACTCCCGAGGGCTCTCCCTTGTCCTCCTGTTCGTCCTGCTCGTCCTGTTCGTCCTGTTCGTCCTGTTCGTCCTGCTCGCATTTGTTGCCTCATCTCTTAAAACGGGAAGCGAATTTTGTTTACCGTTGCTGTTGCCGTTGCTGTTTGCTTGCGCCGCCGGCCGCCAGGTGGTGTCAATGCACGCGCCCTGCCACCCCCCCCCTTGCTCTTTACTCGGGGGGATCCCCCGCCGCCTCAGGGCGCCTGACTTTCCATCAACTTCTGGACTTTGTCCGCTCGTCCTTCGACTTTTAATTGTTTTCCCTGACGTCCTGTTCCTTCGTTCGATCAATTATTAATCAGCCAGACGCTTTTCCATTTTCCATTTCCCATTTTCAATTTCCTTTTGTTTCGCGTTTGATTCCATTTTGGGCATTTGTTCTGTTAAAAATAGCCTTTAAAGAAGTCGCTCTGGGGGCTGGTCCTTCCTTTTGAGGGATTTTACTAAAAATATCCTGGGCTATGACAGTTTTCAAGTGGAAGTCCCCTTTGGAAGACAGGCCCCTTCCTTGCGTCAAAAATAGATTGGCGCCCTTCCGCCCTGCCACGAGCATTAATTCAATTGTTGTTGGATTTTATTTAATTACGCACAAAATTGATTTTAATGCGCTATAAATAAAGCCGAATGCCAATTTTATGCGACGAACATTCTAAGACAATCTACGATAAAAGCAGTGGCGGTGGCGATGGCGGTGGCTGTGGCGGTGGCAGGGGCTGCGGCCTAATGAAGTCCTTTGTCTTGGCCTCACGAGGAGCAGAGCGGAGTGCGAGAGATTTAAGGAGGTGTCAACAGCGATTACTCCACGCCTCAAAATGTTCAACTTCTAATTAGAGGCGCAATTGTTGTGTGTGTTTTCGGCGGCGACTGACGTCAGAGCGGCCACCGATTTGTCGCTTTCGTGAGTTTCCTTCCCCCCATCCGAAAGTGACACAACTTTCGGATCAATTTGGGGCTCGACTTTGTCGTGGGTTGGGGCTTTTGTGGGGTGCTGCCTTTGGCTTTAGCCGCTGACTTGATAAGCGTCTTGTCGCATCCATTAACTCATTTGCGACTGGACTTAATGAAGCCAGCCATCCGATGGCTTAACAAATGAGCCACCATGTTGTCCTGCGGATCAATGAACTCCGCAATTGCCAGCAAAAGTTAAAAGTTGACAACTGCAAGCTAATTATCGTATAAATTCTGTGTGAAAATAATCTCAAAAGTGGCTGGAAAGCACCTGGGAGATGCCACCATTATTTGTGCGATTGGAGTTAAGAAACATTTCAGTAGGGGGACCTCCTCTTTATCGATACCATTCCACCGCCAATTATCTATTTGTCTTCAGAGTGAATGCATTTCTGATTACAAGACCTGTACCATTATTACAGATAAGCAGTAGAGATCTGTTTGCCTCCATTCAAAACACGAGAGGGAACGTTGAGAGCTGAACATGAATACCCTTAAACTGAGCAAGACTCAGTATGGCTCTCCTCCTAACATTGCACGACGAAGAGTGTGTGCGAGAGAGACAGCAAATCAGTCAGATCGGGTAGGACGCTGCGTAGCCACTGCCAATTGATTTGTTCCTTTTGGTTATAAGAATGATCCGATCTGATCCAGATTCGGCAGTCTAAGAGTTAGAAGATTCAGATCTCTAAAATGTCGTTGCTCTAGCTTTTATAGTCTCTGAGAACTAGGCGCTCATGGGGACGGACAGACATGGCTATATCGTATGGGCTATTGATGCTGATCAAGAGTATATATACTTTATGGGGTCGGAAACGCTTCCTTCTGGGTGTTACCCTACACTACAATATGTGCCTTTGTTGAGCACTATTTGTGGCAAATTCTGTTCCAAATACTGAGATCTTTTGTGTAGTGCAGGTGCAGGGTAATCATTCAATCAGAATGTGTTGCGATGTGTGTCTACAGGAGTCTATCTCTCTACTGGTGTCTCAGTGGGACAGTGTCCTGTGAGGCAACCCGCCAAAGTACGAGTATTCAAGAGAACTTTATCTTCCTTTGAGAATACAGACATGCAAAGTTCCAAAATAGCTTAGCAATGAAGAGGATGATGAGTTTCCGCTTCTTTTAGTGTTGCTTCGGTAATAGGGTTTCCCTAGGCTTTTCAGTTCTTCAAAAATCCTTCAATCGAATCATTGAGACAGCATTTTCCCCCGAAGGCTGTTGACTGTTTGTTGTCTTTGGCTATTTTCTGGCTGGCTTTCCAGGAACTCAGCCCAAGGTGCTGTTGTCCCTCACCCCTGCCCTCTCGGCACCCGTAACCCTTTCGTGACCTTTTCGCCATGCACATCTTTCCGTGCAACGCGGTTTTCCGGCAAAAAGCAAAACATTCGCCAACTGCGTCACACAAAACTATCAGAGTACGGCATTTGTTGTTCCCTTTTTTGGGCGTGTGAGGGAATTTGTTTGTTTGCAGATAAATCATGAATTTTAATTTGGTTATCTTGGGACACTAAGTGTGCCAAGGATATGCGGCTCCTTGAGCCACGGGCTGCTTGTTTATTGTGGGCTAAACATCAGAAAGGGAAGGAAAGGAAAGGGTTCAAAGAGACAATGACCCTGAAACAGAGAGACCTTCCACCCACAGCCCAGCCACCCATTGCGAAAGCAACATGGCACATAATTGAGGTGTCATCAAATTTTAAATGCGCCGGCAGTGGGGCAGTGTGGCAGTGGGGCAGCAGGCAGCAGGCAGCATCGTCGATTAACGTCACGGATTCGCACAGACATCGACGTGGACATGATATGCGCTCTCTCGTATGTCAAAACTGTAAGGTCGAGTCCTTCAGCAACTTGATTTTGAGGACTTTGCCCACATCATCAGCAGCGGGAGCATCTGAATGGAGGAGTCCATGCACTGCACTGGCACTGGCACACTTTCGGCGTCTGTTCCCGGGCTGGGAACAGAACGGAGGCCACGCTCTCTCTTTCTCTCTCTCCCGCTCTCTCTCTCTCGCAGAGAGAGCTTTTTGCCTACGTTAACGGTGTCCTTAAGCTTTACCGCTTTACCGTTACAATGGAAGCTCTCTCCTTGATTTTGCATTCCATTCGCCTTGACTGAAATTTGATTTTTCTATTTTTTTTCCCCACAAAAAATATGAAGAAAAAAAGTAAAATTCTTTTCTTTTTTTTTGATATAGTCATGTGTTTTTTTATTCCATTGACATCTAGTCTTAATCGTAGATTATATATTTACTAAAAATATATATTGTATATATTTTCTTTGATTTCTTAGGCCTCTAATTACATTTTCGCTACAGTTTTGATTTTCTCCAACTACCATAAAGTTTTCTTATTCTTATTTCTTTTCTTTTATTTCATTTCATTGATATTTTAGTTCTTTTTGTTAGAATAATTTTGTTAGAATATTTTGTTCAAAAAAATTTGTGAATTATTGTAAAATTCTTGTTGTTTTTTTTTTATTAGAGTGTTCTTTAAGACGTTTCGTTTTTTTTGGTTTTTTGTTGATTTTTCCTTGTATAAATTCGTCAATTTGAAGAGTTTAATCGAATCGAAAATAAGTGCAAAGTATAGGGAAAACTAGTATTTCAAAAGTGCAAAATCTCTTGGTTTTTCTTTTTTGGTTTTTTGGTGTTTTGGTTTTTTTCATTTCCTTTTGTGGAACAACTAAATGTGCCTCGAAAAATCGAGTCTAACGTTAGGATTACTTGTCGGAAGATATGTGCGGGGTGTAATAGGTAATGCAATCATAATGATAATCTAAATAACGATTTCTTTAGGCTAAAACTAGGTGTTTTTTGTTTCCGTTTAGTTTGTAAACTGAAAGTCCCTACAGTACAGGCCGAAGACAATTAGATCGTCTACGGTAAAATACATATATACTACTATATACCATACATATAGCACTCGTACTCGTACGCGCAGATAGACATATGTTCTGATTTCTGGGAGGGGGTATATAGAATTAGGTACACTTATGGGCCCAATCCGCAGAGGATAGTCCTCCGCGGACTCAGCTTTCACACATTTATAAAATATGCTCTCTGCTGCTCCCCGACGAATCTCTGAAGAATCCCCGTCACGTTTCGTGTTTGCAATCCTTCCAATCCCTTGCTTTAGGCTTTGGGCTTTAGGCTTTGGGCTTTAGGCTTTTAGGCACTACTCGTACATCACTTGGATCCGAAGAGAGCTAAAGTATCTCTCCCCAGGTCCAGATCCAGTCCCGTTTCCACTCCTTGCAGCTTCATCCACTGGTCACTTCTCCCAGTTCGTGTGGTTCTCTTAGTACATGTGATGGAGGGTGTAGGGACAGCAGACCGCATAGCTGGGAACCCTCGAGTAGAGCCCCGACATGCCCTTCATGTGCACATACTGCACTGGTGGCCGCAGGATGCTCTGCTGCTTCTTGTCCTTCTTCGAGGAGGAGCCAGAGCCGGAGCCGGAGCCGGAGCCGGAGCCGGAGTTCGACTTGGAGCTGGAGTTGCTGTTGCTGTGGCTGTTGCTGGAGTGGCTGCTGCTGCTGCTGCTGCTGTTGGAGTTGTGGGGCGACAGGGACTTCTTCTTCAGCTGTCGGTGCAGGGGCGTGCTGCTGCAGGAGAGGGAGCGCAGCGAGGCGTTGGCGGTGGTGGCCGCCGAGCTGGAGAAGTGCTGGAGCATCCGGCTGACCGACGACGAAATCGAGATCCGGCTGAGATGGAGTCCGTGCGATTTGGAAGCGGAAGCGGATGCCGCCGAAGCGGATCTCGGCTTCCTGCTCTCATTCTCATTATCGTTCTCATTATCGTTCTCGTTCTCGTTCTCATCCTCTCGCTCATTGTCGCCGTCGTTGTCGTTGTCGTTGTCGCCATCACCCTCTCCCTCGTTGCTGCTGCTGCTGCTGTTGCTGCCCTCGCTGCAGTCCTCGTCGTAGTGGGGATGCATCTGGGGATGCAGCTGCTCCAGGGCGCTGCCCGGTCGGAAGACGGCTTCCACGTAGATGTGCCCCTGGTTGTCGTAGTAGTCGAGGCCCGTGGGCGAGTACCGCGAGTATCCCGACACCGGAGAGGCCCTCGAGGTGTGCTCCTGATCGTGATCCTGATCCAGGTCCTGGCTGGAGCCCCCGTTCATGTTCATGTTCATGTTCATATTCAGATTCGTGGACATGCCGCCGCTGCACTCGTGGGAGCCGCGCTCGTAGCTCAGGCTGAAGGAGTCCGTGGAGCTGCTGCGGATGTCGTCCTGGCTGCTGTAGACCGTCTCGTGCTGCGGATGGTGCGAGTGGTGGTGGAAATGCTTGCCCAGGTGCCTGCTGAGCAACTGCAGCAGACTCCTGCTGCGGGAGAGCTTCTTCTGGCCGCGCTGGTGGCGCTGCTTGCCGCTGCCCAGATCCATCGAGGAGCTGGCCGCCGAGCTGCCGCTGGAGCTCGACTTGGAGCCGTTTTTGGGAGAATGGGTATCCATTTTTCTTTGAGTTTTTGTCTCTTTTCTTAGGGTTTTCTTCACTGGTTTTTCACTGGTTTATTTCACTTTTGAATAAATCGAGTTCTGGCGGAGCAGGGAGCTGCTTCTTAGCTGCTTCTTGGCTGCTTTTTGGGAGATGCTTTCTTTGGAGCAGGCTTCTCTAGAGGTTTGTCGCGTCCCGTGAGTTCTGGCGAAGACTATTGCTGGCTGCACTGCGGCTCCTCCTTTTATACACATCCTCAATGTCGTCTGCCAGCTCCGCTTCGTTTCAACCTTCGCCTCCGACGAGGACACACAGTGCTCGTTGTTCGCTGTTCGTTGCTCGCCGCTCGTGCTCCGAGCGCGCGCCCGACGAGGCATGCCACACTGACACACACCCGACGACGAGGACGAGCTAATGAAGGCCCACCGAATGGGGGGCGGACATCTACCTGTTGCCTGTTGCTGCTGTTGCTGCTGCTGCTGCTTCTGCTGCTGCTGCCCCAAAGCCTAGTGTTAGGGCATTTCCACTCAACGTGACTGCTGATGGCTTCCCCATTGTGCTGCTGCTGGATGATGCCTCATGGTTGCTGGCTGGTGGACTTTGTAGCCTGCCGCTTGTTGCACTTTTCAGTTCCGAGTATTTTGCGTGATGGGGAACGTGATCCTAGCACGTCATACCCCGGGCATCGCCGTCACCTGAAAACTAGTGACACCTTCAGGAGCTCAGCGGCGCATGTGGATCCGACTCACGTGAAGGCATTGGCAATATTTGGAGCCCCGTGGGCAGTGGGCAGTGGGCATGTGGCAGGGGGCAGGGGCAGGACGTGGCCCGTGGCTAACATCGAGCAAAGTATACATCGTGGGCCATGGAATTATACAGAAGACGAATCATGTCCTTTGTGCACCTTTGTGCCGCTCAAAACATCCTTTGAGCGTGCAACGGCACTCCTGAAATAGATATAAATCCGAAAAAGACCACAGGGCTAATCTAATTCCGGATAATGACTGCAATTATGCGCTTAGCCGCATAAGAAAGAGCCAAAGGAAAAGCGCCACCCCACTTGCCGCCCCGCTTGCCAGCCCACTCGCCACCACCCACTCCCCAAGGCGAGTTTTGTGCACGTTTTGCGACCACACTGCGGTTATGCACACAGACCGCGAATGTAAGATGGAAGAGATGGGAAAAGATGGGAAAAGTCTTCTATAAATAAAAACAGCGACGAGCGGCAAGGACAGCAGCAGCGGCAGCCGCGGCAGCATCAGTAGGAGCAGCATAATCAGTGGCAAGCTTAAAGACCGGGCCAGGCCAAGGCAATCGGAATTGGAATTGGAATTGGAACTCCTGTTCGTATTCGAATTGGAAAAAGAGTCAATTCAGAGATTCACTCAGTCAGTGGGTCACAAGTAACGCAAATCTCGAACGAATCCCCCGAGAAAATGTCACGTACGGGGCCTTCGTGCGGCTCCTCCTGTGGTCACCTGGTGGCCGAGACCTGGCTTAGGCGATGCGTGCCGTGGAAAACAATGAAAAGTCTTTGGTGTATTGTCATTTCGGTTTCTGTTTACTGTATTCCCGATTGCTGTCGATTGGCTCTCCTCTTTTAGAGGAGGAACGGGGTTAGCGACAGGGCGCCGATGCCCACATCGAGGGCCCCGTAGCGGTGTCCGGCGGCATAGGGATACCGATACGGATAGGATGCCCCCGGACTGCTGCCGTAGTAGTGGTTGGAGTTGGAGTAGTACCCGTAGCCACTCTGATAGGGTCCTGGGCCCCCGTAGTAGCTGTTGTAGTAGGCTCCTGGTCCCGGTCCCACGTAGGGCTGCGGCTGCTGGTAGCTGACGCCGAAGGAGACCAGCGGCTTGGCCTTGACGCAGATGCTGGCAATCAGCGCCAGCATTAGCTGCTGCTGCAACGGGGCAAAGGGCACGTTAGAACACTGTCAACAAGTCGATCGACGTGGAAGGATGTGCCTACCCAAAGATACGAGTAAATGCGCATTTTGTGGCCCCTGGAAACTGCGTCGTTGGGTCCTTGCCTGATTGCTCGATTGGGTGATTCCTTGATTCCGCGCTGGACCACGGACCGCTCTTCTCTGAGCTCTGCCTTACATTCCTGTGGCCCTTTTATACAGTACGGTACAAAACAGTATTCTGTGGCCCCCGAAACGGGGGACCGGGAGGGCGGCCAAAGCCTGTTTTCTTGGCTAAACAGCCTGCCCCAAGGGCCGGCCCTAGACTGGGAGTCCCATTCTGGTTTCTGGTTTCTGTTTGTTCTGGTTTTCGGTCACGAATCACGAATCTTGCATCTGGAATCTCCCTCTGGAATCGCTGTATAAGTAAGCCCGTTGTTCGCATAGATTTGCCTGCTTGGTGCCTAGTGCATGCCTGCCTCCCAGGGATTTCCTCAACCATTAATTGGACATTGAAAAACCTTGAACTGGCTCATGGACTCATGGAGGGGCCTGGACCTGCATTAAACCCGTTTGCAGAGAGCGAGAGATGTGTGCGGGGAGCAGTAAGCTGATATTGATGCCCCACGATGCTCCAGGCCCCACTCCATGTCACTGCCACTAATCAGTGGCATCTGCTGGAAAGAGGAGTCGCTTCTAATTTGCCCCGCATAATGTCCAATATCTCTTGCACTCGTAATCAGACATCCCTGCCATAATTAACTACAGAATACACTTTATTCTTCCGAGTACGAGGCAAATGGCTCGTAAATGGTTCTACAGGAAGTGGCCTGAAGGTGCCCCCTTAAGGGAATTCTGTGTCTGTTTTCAGGCCACTTTTGGGCCTGAACAAATCACCAATTCCAATGCGCAAAGCTCATCAATTTAGAGTCTAGTTTCGCGGAAAATATTCCACACCGTCTGTATATTTTTGGACACCGTTTCAAGTAGTTTTTAAGCATCCTAGACTGACATCCTTTCGTTTATGCCCCTTTTAATTGTATGTATTTATGTTTACAGCCAAACCGAAGATGTTTCAGCCACCAGGTGAGTCGATACTTTAATTAACTCAGCCCTGAACTGCCGTGAACTGCCGTGAACCCTCTCAATCGAATCGAATTCCTGCTGAGTATCATCTTGCAGTCCACGCAGCCAATCAAATATTAATTAATGCATGATAATTAGATTGGTTTCCGGTTTTCGGGGGGGTGTTAAGCATTTGCGTACTCCCTGCGGGAGAGCCGTGGGATGGCCCCGTGGAACGCCCCGCCGGATGGATGCGATGCCATGTGACCAGCCTCGGGTCACCAGTCACGTTCCCTCCGCTGTTTCCAGGAGCTGCCACCTGCACCTGCACCGTCGAGCGTCGAGCCCCGAACGTTGCAGAGTCAAAAGTTGTGCGTGTGCTCCTGGGGTCACATTGCAGTCATGGGCCGCTTCTAGGGCTTCTCTCTGGCCTCCCCGGTGGGGACGTGCGACAAGGCAGGCAGGCAGGCAGGCAGGCGGGCAGGCAGGCAGGCGGGCAGGCAGGCAGGCGCCACTTTGAGAGTGGATAATTTTAGACGAGCCTCCACTTGCCACTTGCCAGTTGCCACTTACCGCAGGAGGGGCCACCGCACAGGTGAACAACTGCAGGGAGCAGAGAACTTAATTTCGGGGTCATTCGATACACTACTCGGCAGCCATTGAGCCACTCATTGTTTGTTCTGTTCTGCTCTGTTCTGTGCTGTTTCGGGGATCGGATCCAGCGCACAATCGAGGAACAATGGGAGGCTTGCTGGGGTTCAACAGACAGCGGGTCTTAGGGAAGTCTGCCACTGCCATAGAGACAATGACGATGACGATGACGATGACGATGGGTGGGATAAGCCACAGTTAAACACTTGCATTGGGAGTGGACAAACTTTATTCAAATTTCACTTGGATACGTGTATACGTGGATATGAGATGCGGCAGCGAGAGAGGTGCTTGCTCTCTCTCGCTGCCTCTCCCTCTCCCTCGCTCTCGCTCCCGCTCTTCAATAGAGGTGATACTCATAGGTCAGGGGCTTGTAGTCGCTGCGGTACTGCTGCTGGAAGGAGTTGGGAGTCGCCACGCTGTGGTACAGATGCGATTCGGCAGCGCCGGCGGCCGGAGCCACCAGGCGGGAATAGGCCAGCGGCAGGACACCCGCAGCCCGGGCATAGGTCGACGGGTAGTACCCGTACGATGGGGTGTAGTAGGTGTAGACCTCGTGGCCGAGGGCCAGACCCAGCAGACAGGCAAAAATCAGCTAAAAGTGGAATGGAAACGATCATTAGAACTAGAATCTCTCCCCTTCATGGGGGCACTTTGAACACTTACCAGCTTCATTTCTATCGCTCGTTGCAACTCCTTGGGACAGTGATCGCAAACTGAATCCCTGCTGCCAGATGGATGGGCCTTTTATAGCCACGAAACCACACAAAACGGACAGACCTTCACTTTGGTCTTGGTATCCAAGGTCAAAGGCATTTGCCAGCAGCAGAAGCAGCAGCAGCGGCAGGGGCAGTGGCAGTGGCAGCGGCAGGCGGCAAATGAAAGAAGCCCTTAACTCTTTTTGAAAGGAAAAGAATGGCAAAGGCTGCGGCAAGGAATGGCCACGGAATGGAGCTGCAATTGCAATTGCTGCCCTGCCACAGAGGAGGCCTGGAAGGAGTGCAACATGCAGCAGAGCAGGAAAACCCGTTCGCTCCCTGCCACTCAGAACTCAGAGCTCAGAACTCTGAAATCTGATTCGAATCGGATTGGATTGTCGTGAGTGTTCCCCTGACAAGAGATAGTCAAGCATGCCACAGAGCAGGCCACAGAGCATCCCACTCCCACTCCTCCTGCCGTCCATGGCCTTGGCCTAGGCGAAGGCGTTTATTTGCCTCCCTTTATCTGATTTTGTTGGTGGAGCGGAGCAGGGAGTATTGGTGTAGGTCTTGGTCCAAAATAAACAATTAAATGGGAAGCCTGCCACACAGAGACGCACTTCCGGTATTTTTCCTTGCTTTCGGTTGAGAGGCTTTCAAGGTCAGGCCTGCCAGGGGGGTGCCGGTGGGGTGGCAGGGGGCTGCTAGTGGGTGCAAAAATTGCGATGTTTCCTTCGCTTCTCTTTGTTCCCAGCAAAGTCCAAAAACAAACTCCCACGCCCAAAATCAATTAAATGAGGTTTTTGTTTATACCGAAAAATAATTCTATTGATTGTTTTTGCGCTCTTGTTTTTTCGAGAAAGGAAGCTGTTGATTTGTTTATCGCTGGCAAAATGACGCAGTTTTCCGCAGCAGCAGCATCAGCATCAGCATCAGAGATTTGAGGGCATTTCCCAATCATCAGACCGAGGCGCAGCGGTGCAGCGGTTTAGTGGTGCACTTTTTCAGGTAATTCCAAACCGAACCCATTCGAATGGCAGGTGGAAATCTGAGCCGCGTTAAGAGACTGCCAGTCTTGTCTTCTTGGGCCCCAAGGTCGGTGGGTGATTGGTCCGGCTTCTTGGCTTCGTTATAAAAAGCCGCCACGCGCTGAACCAGCCATCAAGTCTTCTGACAGCCGCCGCTCTGCTTCCAAGAACTTCAAAATGTTCAAACTGGTAAGGGATCCCTTTGGGGACTATTTTCGGGATGAAACGTAATTAAGGAGAGTCCTCCTTCGTGCTCCTTTAGTTCGTTTTCCTGACGCTCTGCCTGGCCTTCGCCTGCGCCGCTCCGGGTCTGCTGCACTCGTCCTCGGTGCCCATCCTGACCAGCTCGTACCACAGCCTGCCCTCGGTGCGAGTGATCGGCAGCCCCATTTGGACCCACTCGCACTCCCCGTCGCTCTCGCTCTCCCACTCGCACTCGCACAGCATTGTGCGGCCCCTGAGCTACGGCTACGGCCATGGCTATGGCTGGATCTGAGGATCTGAAAGGAATGTCGGGCCACTGACAGACAGCGACGACTGTCCCCCGAAGCCACAAAATATATAATTGTGTGTCTAAATAGTGTGTCTTTATTTCTGAGCTCATCGGAGGGGATCACAGGGTGGGAATAATCTGTATAAAAGGAGAGCCAGTGCCATTTCTCGAGTTTAGTATCGCTGAGACGGCTATGTGGTGTGTAAGTTGGCTGATCGGTGGATGATTCTGATTCTTGATCTGAAGAAGTAGTGGATATTTGCAGTTGCTGTGGATATTTCTGGCTCTGCTGGAGTCGGGCGTGCTCAGTCAGCCCCTGTCGGTGCTCTTCTCCGGGGACTTTGGCAGGAGCTTGGATGCCGATCGGGAGACAGAAGACCTGCTCTTCTTCGAACATCCTGCCAAGGCGTACTCCTCCGATGATCTTTTCGGGGATGTGCAGAAATTTGTCATTGGCGTCCATCAGTTTGTCCAGCATCCCTCGTCCTCACTGTACAGTGCCCTCAATCAGCTGCAGGCGAATGCGAAAAAGAACCACAAGAAGCAGAAGCACCCTCTGTTCGGAGGCCAGAAAGTGGTCCTCGATCCCCCTGGCAGTGTTTCGTTCAATTTGGGATGGTCCCTCAACTTTCAGCTGACGAACAGCATTGCCATCACGCGTACATACTCGTACACTCGTCACTGATGGCTGATGGCCGGCACGTGGACAAAAATATAAATAAAATCTGAATTAAAGGGAACTTTTATATAACACTGAGATGGAATTCAACGAGTGTCACAGGCGATGGTGACGGGGCAAGGGGCAACCTTGCCATTTTCCATTTTCCATTTTCCCTAAGATGTAAGTCTTTTGCATTCTTCAGCCTAGAAGTAGGCAATGCAAGGGTCCGCGTGCGTAGAACGCATGTAGACGCCATGTAGAATTGTCATGGGGTGACATGTAACAATCAAAATATACATACCTGCCACATGCATGCTTACATGTGTTTTCCGAAACTGCATTGAAGTGGGGGCTGGGCTTCGTTTGATTTAAATAAACGACATTAAGAATTGTCAACATTTGAGTTGAGAAATTTCTAGAGAATTTCACTACGAAGCGTCGAGTGATCCACCCACAGCGACATACATATGTACATTCATATGTATTGTATGTATTTTATGTATTGTTTGTATATCTTTGACACATTCACGAGTGCAATTGTAGATTTATTTCGGTGCTTCATTGCTCGACCATTAACACAATCGATCTAGTAGTAATCCAAGAAGGATTCCCGCACACAGACGAGACAGAAGTGTAGATGTGGAGCCATACTACAGGACAAATGTAGATATTGTGTAGAAAATAACAAAAACAATTTTTTGCATGGTTTTTTGGGCAAAAAATATATCTCAGGTGTAGGCGTGGTATGCCTCTATGACCGATTGCTGGCAAATGTTTTGGTCAAATATTCTTGGGAAGGCAAAGCAGAAATTGCGACATTTTAGAAGCTGATGCAATAATTTAGTGTTCCCCTAATATGGGGGGGGGGTCCAATGATATGATAGTGCCATGTCCATGCCCCCCCCTCCAGCTAGTTATTAATAAATGTGAGCTAAATGGAAATGCAAGTTTTGCATAATATTTTGCAAACAAATGAAGGCTGTGTTCTCTTGGCTCCGTCTCGTTTTCCGCTCGCCTCTGTTCTGGGCTCCTCGACTCTGTTCAGTTGAGTTCGATTCAGTTCTGTTTTGTTCTGTTTGTGAGCTGCCACAGATTATGTCTACGCTGTGGAGTCTAATTTTAAATGCGGCACGTTGCATTGTCTCTGTGCTGGCCGGATAAATGTCGCTTGTCGCACGCCTCAGAACATGTGTATGAGAGCCAAGGATAATTAGCCCCGTTATCTGCCTCAATGGCGCCGTGCCAATGCCAATGGCAGGATGCAGCCTCTATTTGTATGGGACTATTTATGAATGAACATTTTCCGGATGTTTGCAACAAACAAAAGGAAAGTATCCGTGTGTTTTTGGTCTTACGGTGGCTCCATTCGTGTGGAGTGGACTGCTATTAGCACCCACGTCTCCCGTAGAGACGCCGCACTGGGATCTTTAGGGGCACGCATATATATATATATGTATATATATATCTTTAAGAGCACATATATGTATTCACCGAAAAAAAATAGTTCTTTCACTTCAGTATGGTGTCATTTCCCCACGAACGAATGAAAGATATTGACTCTTCGTTTGATTAGAGTTTATTTCTGTGATTCATTTGCTGGATTCGTTGCCACGACTTCCGTTCGGGTGGCAGGTGGGCGGGTGGCACTTCCGGTGTGCTCTCTACTTCTTCAGCAGCAGGGGGGCGGTGTAGGCGGCAGCTGCGGCATAGGGGGCTGTGTAGGCGGCAGCGTAGGGGGAGGCGTAGGCAGCAGCGGTGTAGGCAGCGGTGTACGGAGAAGCGTAGGCGGCCGTGTACGGAGAGGCGACGTAGGGAGATGCCACATACGGGGACGCCACATACGGAGACGCCGCCACGTAGGGAGAGGCAGCCACGTAGGGGGCGGAGTAGGCCAGAGGAGCCACGATGCCGGGCTTGGCGGCAGCGCAGGCAATCAGAGCGAGGACAACGGCGGCGACGAGCTTGAACATCTTGGGAGGATTGGCTTTCAGATTGTTTTACTTGTTGAATGGAACAAATGCAACTGATGCCCGAACAGGCGGTGGGCCGTAGCTTATATAGCTACAGCCCCACACAGTGCCAGCCAAACGGCCTTGCAAGGTCTCGGCGCCAACAGCCCCACAGCCCCACAGCCCAATAGCCCGTGGCCCCTCTTTGGCCACGCCAGTCACGTAGCCCCCGTAGTGGGTCGACACAAGCGACAGAAGCGTCGAGTACTGTGGGGAAGTCTCTTTTAATTGAACAGCATTAAGCTGGCCAAAAATTGATACCAAATATCAGCCTTTTTGCAGGTTTTTCTAGCCGTCCAAGCAGCAGGTGGACTTGTGCCGTTCAGGCAGCAAATGTCATCAGTCATCAGTTTGAAACACTCGACAGTAAGACACTCCAAGACTGCCCTCGCCCTCACCCCCGCCTTCGTCGCTCTGATGGGCTGCGTCTGGGCCAAGCCCGGAATTGGCCTACTCTGCGCCTTCGGTGGCTGCTGTCTACAGCCGGGAATATCCCGGCAACTCTGCGACTCCCTATGTCGCCTCTCCCTATGTGGCATCGTCCGATGTGGCATCACCGCAGCCCACAGCGCAGCCCCCATTCTGCTGAGGAAGTAGGAGCTGCCTGAATGACTGACTGACTGAATCGAAGAAGAACATGGCAAATACTATACATAAACATAAAGCTCTGATAGCAGGGAACTGAATGAATCTCGTTTGTGTTTACTTTTTGCTCATCAGTTGGTGGCAGGCCTGGCCTGCTATCGGGACTGAGACTGGGACTGGGAATGGGTTTGGTTCAAGGTCTTTGGCTTGGACTTATCTTCAAAAACAAACACAGCAACAAAGGCTACAGCCTACAGACTGCAGGAAGCTCTCCCCCGACGTCACAGTCCGATAAGATATGAGTGGTCCAGAGTTTATAAATTTCTCTTCCGTATTACAATTTATTCAGAGATTCTTTGAGAGGGAGTGAGAGAGAGAGAGACTTAAATATGCTAGGAGTCCTATATCTAGAGTTCAGTTTTGGGGCTAAGGATCGACGAGGATGGGGGCTGTCACATCCCCAGGTTGGTGTCCATTGTGGCACTCGAATGGAAGACAATGCTGCTGCGATTGTGGCGTCCGGAGCGACGAGCCTTCAGATACTTGACGGCGACCAAGGCGATCAGAGCCACGAGGACGAGGCCCCCGAGGATGTAGGCGAAGACCTTCATGAAGGCCAGATGCAGTTCCAGATTCTGGGAGTGGGCTCCCACCAGCTCCAACTGCTTGGACAGCGCCTGGATGTGCATGTAGAGGACTGTTTCCTCGGCGCCGAAGGAGGCGTTGACCGCCATCTGCGACTGGCTGATGCAGGAGACGTCGCGGATGTGCGGGGTCTCCTCGAGACTGTTGTCCGGCTCGATGTTGAGCACCACCGACTCGGGCAGCGAGGGCGGGATGAGCAGGCGGTGCAGATAGGAGCAGTTGAAGCGGTTCCGGGAGACGCCCAGCTTCTGGAGCATCGGGAAGGCGTCGTCGAAGGTGCGATTGCCCTGCAGCTCGGTCAGCGCGTTGCCGTCCACCAGGAACTTCTTGATGTTGGCCAGATACGGCACGAACATGTCCAGATTGAGGCTGGTCATATTGTTGAACGAGAGGTCGAGTTCCTCGAGGTACTTCTGCTTGGAGAACATCCCGAACTTGAGCTCTCGAATGCCGTTGCCGCGCAGATTGAGGCTGCGGAGTCGCTTCAGTTGGGCAAAGGTGCTGACGTTCAGCTGTCCGATGGGGTTGTCGGAGAGGTCCAGGTAGTGCAGGGACGTCAGATTCGTGATGTTGGCGATGCTCTGCAGGCGGTTGGCGCTCAGCTCGAGGGTCTCCAGCTGCAGCGACTGGTGCAGGATCAGCTGCGAGATGGCGTTGTGGCTGGCCCGCACGAAGCGGGTGGCGTTGATGGTGAGGTTCGTCAGCTGGTTGTGGTCCAGATGCAGCTGGTGGACGATGCTCTTGCCGGTCAGCTGGAAGTCCTTCAGCTGGTTGAACGACAGCATGAGGCTCTCCAGGCTGGCGGCCTCTGCGAACGTGTCCGGATGGATGCTCACCAGCTGGTTGTTGGACAGATTCACCTCCTTGATGCGCCGCATCCCGCTGAACACCTCCGGCCGGATGTAGGTGAGGAAGTTCCCCTCGAACGAGACATTCTCGAGGAACTCGTTGTCCATGAAGATCTCGTCGTGCAGCTCCCGCAGTCGGTTGCCCGTGAGCAGCAGCTTATTGATGATCTGCAGCCCATTGAAGGCGTTCACGCTCAGGGAGGCGATTTCGTTGTAGGACAGATCGAGCCTCATCAGCGAGTTGGCCCCAATGAACACCGACGTCTGGATGGACGTTAGGTTGTTGTAGCTCAGGTTCAGATACGTCAGATTGCTGGCCGCACTGAAGGTGTTCCGCGTGAGCTCCAGGATGTTCGTGTTCGACACGTCGAGGGTCTTCAGATGGGGAAAGGTCTCGAACAAGTGGAAGGGCATGTAGAGCAGGGTCGACTCGTAGAACTTGATGAACTTGACCATGTTCCCGGGCGGCACGTTCTTTATCACCACATTCTGGCTGTGGGTGACCATGAAGCCCGTCACCGTGCAGAAGGCCTCGTTCACGTCCATGTAGATCATCGGATCGAACTCGTCGCATCGCAGATTGATGTCCCCGGCCCTGGCCACCCCGGCAGCCGCCGACGCCACGAACAGGATCCCCCATGCGATCCCCATCTTTCGAGACACCACCAGAATATCCTCCATCATCATCTTCGTCATTATCGTCGCGAACCGCTCCGTTTCGATGCAAAATTCGAACTGTTTTGCTTTGCACTGCCCTGCAAATGGCAAATGGCATTTGCCATATCTATATTATATATAGGATGATATCTTTCTCTCTCCCCAGATAGTTTTCTGTATTCCAGTAAGTCGGGAATCGGGAGCGGGACGCGGGAATCGGCAGTCGGGACGCGGGACTGACTGGCGATAAAAATTGTCGGTCTGTTGTCGGTTGGCTTTGGTTTTGTTAATTTTGCAGCGAATGAAAGTAAGTCATTCTAGACATTGGAATGGGACTACTATGGTACATGCTCCTATATTTTCCATCCAAAAGAGATATGTTATACGTACATGTGTGTGCTACATGTGGCTTGAGCTTGAAACTCTTTCGATACCAGATACAAGAGAGACACAGAGACATAACGTTCGACAGTCCATTGAACTTTATTCTTTAGAGATAATCTTTTTTTTGGTTGGGAGAGATGGGGATTGCATAAATGCAACTGCAACTGCAACTGTAATTACGGAGTACCGTTGAGTGGCAAGTGGCAAACGTAACCTTGCAAATCGAAATCGGATTAAAGCGGAGCCCTCCCTCACCCACCCAACTATTTTGGCTTTTGGCTTTTGGCACGAGAGGTTACTCATCGGCCAGCGATGCCAATTAGCATTGGCAGTTGGCATCAATCACTCCTCCCAACAGCTACTGGCTACTGCCCACTGGGCACTGGCCAATAGACTCACCTTCAGTGCGGCAACAACTTTTATGGGCTCACTCACCATTTGGAAACGTGCCCGAAATACCAGATCGGGGACTCGACCTCCCCGAAGCCCCGAAACCCAAAAGCCGCGGGCACGTAGCCAGCATTTGGAGCCACTCAAAGGCCGCCCCGCTCTGCATTCCCGTGCAGCGGCGCAGAGCATTGGTAGAACCATCCGCCCGCTCCCATTCGTACGGCCGGGGTCTGGGGTATAAAACCACAGCTGACCACTCGGTCGATTATAGTCCAATTTGTTTGCTCAAATCACACACTAATCCCCCAAACAATCTCCAAGATGTTCAAGCTGGTAAGGACTGCCGATCCGCATCCTGGTCCTTCGACGGAGATCCCTACAAGTGTCCTCTCTCTCTCTCTCCTCTCTTTCTTGCAGTCCGCTCTCGTTGTCCTCGTGGCTGCCATCGCCTGCAGTGTGGCGGAGGCCAAGCCTGCCGTTGTGGTGGGTGCCGCTGTGCCCGCGGGTGTGGTGACTGCCACCAGCTCCCAGTATGTGGCACGTAATTTCAACGGAGTCGCCGCTGCCCCAATTGTCGCCCCAGTGGCTGCTGCCTACACTGCCCCAGTGGCTGCTGCCTACTCCGCTCCTGTGGCCGCTGCCTACTCCGCTCCTGTGGCCGCTGCCTACACTGCTCCTGTGGCTGCTGCCTACTCCGCTCCTGTGGCTGCTGCTTACACCGCTCCTGTGGCCGCTGCCTACTCCGCCTATCCCTATGCCAGCTATCCTTATGCCGCTGGCTACACCACCGTTTTGTAAGGCTCTAAAACGGACTGAAAACTGACTTCGGAATGCAATAAAAAACCCCCCCACAAATCAAACTGAATCTGTATCTTCGCTCTTACTGGGTTCTAGGAGTTCTGAGCGGAAAGGGGTTCCCAGTGGATGGATCACAACCTTAAGTCTCTATGGCTTTGATTCGGGAAGGAGCTCTAGTTCTTAGCCTGTGGGGAAAGGAGCTGTCAAAGGAATGAATCCTTTCTCCTTCGTTTCTATCTGGAATTGCATTTGGCTTTAAGCCTGCCGCATGGCTCCTTCCACCGTGTCGCCGTTAGTCATTAGCAAATGCGGAAATCATCCGGAGAGATGCCAAATGACTTGCGTCATCGAATGCAAATGCCTTGCCTCAGAATACGGTATTGATTGGCGAGGCAAACAAACATCTTTCAGTAGGACAAGCACGTGTCGGCAGTTTCGAATTGGAGTTGCGTCATTGCCACCAATCGGAGAGGCAGGAGTGTGTGCGTGGCATTTGAATAATTATTCCGATATCATCTAAATATAATAATCGTATATTTCCAATCAAAAACAAACCGAAACAAAACAAACATCAAATATAACAAATAATAATCGAAAATTCAACCAGAGCCAGAACCAGAACCAGAACCGGCGCCTAAGGCAGCCTTCATTTTGAGTTGACTCATGGTGTTGGGGCACCAGTGAGTGCCACAAGTGGTGCTGCCACGAGGGGTATAGAGCCGCTGTAGCGTCCGAATGGCAGCCACGCAGCTTGGTAGAACAAGGGATAGCTGGGCGGCGGCACACCCACACCTGGGGGTCCTGGGGGTCCTGGCGGTCCCGGGGGGCCCGGTGGCGGTGCAGCAGCAGCAGCAGTCTGTGGCGGCGGGGCAGCCCGATGGGCAGGCGGGACATCCACCTCCTCGGCAGCATCCCGTATCTGTCCCGCGGAGGCAGCACTCACGAGGAGCAGCAGCAGAGGCACCTGTTGATCGTTGTTCACCGTTGAGCAAGTGCATCTCTCGGGTTTTCTCTGGCTTGAAACTTACTAATTTCCTGTATCTGTACATAACTACGTATCTGTGTATATCTTTGTATCTGTATCTGTATCTGTTATCTGTATCTTTTTTATCTGAGTTCTGACTGCTCAAAGTTCTAGAAATGGAATGAAACCCAAGCCGGAGATCGGACTGGCATTTATAAACTTGTGGAACCCGGAGGTACAGCCAGTACTAGCCAGTGGGTCAGACCAGGCGAAGACTTGTAGTACGAGTATCCATCGATTGACTGATGGATTCGATCGGAGATGATTCGCTATTCCAGGCACGAACTCGAGTGCCTGTTCGATTTGTTTATTGTTTTTCGTCACGCGTCTCTCAGAAACGAAACCAAAAGTGCCACAGCAAAGATTCTCCTTGGTCCGCCTTCGTATCGTATCTGTACGGGTGTACGGGTATAGTATATGGTCTTGGAACCGATTCGAGCGTGGCTTTTGCATACCAATTTCCAGGGATCACCTTCGCTTTTGCTGCTCTATCTGCGGATCTGCTGCTATATAAATTCCGATGCCGGGTAGCAGCAGATATCAGTCTACTGCCTGAGAACCAACCAACAACAACAACCAGCAACCAGCAACATGTTCAAATTCGTAAGGATCGAAGGATAATCCCTGCCACAGGGATCCCCAAGGAGTAATCTTCATCTTCTCCCCTTTTTTTTTTACCCGACAGTTCGCTCTGTGCCTCTTCGCCGTCGTGGCCTGTGTGGCGGCCAAGCCCGCGGTGATTGCCCCACTGGCGTACAGCGCCTACTCCTCCCCCCTGGTGGCCGCCTCCCCCTACTCGTCTGCCTACACCGCCGCCTACACAGCCCCCGCCTACGCCGCCTACTCCGCGTATCCCTATGCGTCCGCCTACTCCGCATACCCCTATGCCGCCTACTACCGCTAATCAGGGACAGGCCATTGGAAAAGGATACTCTGGACACTGGACCCCCCCACCAACCCCCCAACAATATGGATACTCCTATCTGCACCTGCAACCACCTGCAACCACCTGCAACCACTGCACCACCTCCACCACCTGCACATCTCTGCACTGCACCGCCTTCAGCCCTCTCGTTCTTCTTCCTTTCGCTCCCGCCAAACAATCTGCTGGAAGCTGAAAGTGAACAAATGGAAACAGGACCCACAGGACACACCGGAATATACAATATCAATGTCGAAATAAATAATTTGCACTTTGCGTGAAACGTATACAGCCCAGCCCTTCTTTTGTGTGGAAATTGTTTGCAAAGAGAGCCTGCCACGTACCACAAGACAGCAGCGAGTGTGTGCTGCAATAGAGACACTAATTGAGGAGGATTTATGGCCTTCCGATTGGAGCACATCCTGTGCTGAATGTCCGGTTTAAACGGGGAACAAATCAGTTTGTGGGCCTGAACGAATAGATCCCATCCGCTTACCCATTATACTATTTATTGTGAGCATTATTATTACTATTTTTATTGTGCAAATGGCTATTTTTTATAAATAGCACCCATATCCAAAAAAAATAAGAAATTGATGGTTCAGAACGAGAATTGTTGGATTTTTCATATGATTTTTGTATTTGTGTCGGTACAATGGCTATACAGGCTACGTAGCTTTTTGATTAGTTTGATTTAGGCACTATTTATTGATACACTGGTGCGTATGTATATATACTGCAATTGATTGGCAGGCGAAAGCGTCTATTGCTGCAGCCAAGCCGAGAACAAACGATGGGCGGAGCTCGGGAGGACGGCAGGACCGAAGAAGGTGGATAGAGCGGGCAGTGGAAGTAGTGAACAATATTGGTGGCACCACTGGCTAATTTAAGGAATTTGTTAACTGGGACTGGCAAACCCTACAGGTCTTATCTGACGATATAGTGATCCAAACTTGGGGTGATGAGAACACTTTTCTATTACATTAAACTCCGTTCTCTTGGAGGTTTTTCCCGTTCCTTCAGTGAATTAGAAGAACGTCATCCCCAGTCGCAAGCTCCTCAGGGATTTACTTTTTGAATACCATTAATAACCCGCCATAGTAGTGGGTCATCGGAGCAATAACCTGCAAGGAAGTGCCTCTAGTTGTGAGTGCACTTTCTGTAGCCACTGTACATATCAGATTCATTGACCCCAAAGGCCTTTCCTGTTCATTGTGGCCGCCATTGCCCATTGCCTTCCACCTCAACCGAAGGGCTTCGATCCGGCTGCGTCCCTCGCTGGTGGGATAAACCACTTTTCGTATTTATTTGCATCTCATCTCTGATTAGAATGCAGAGCGGCGCGCATCGCGCATCGCGCTCCCCCCCGGACTACCGGACTACCGGACTACTGGAGTTGGTTGAGATGGGAGGCACGTCGTGCCCAAGGAGAGGAGTATCGCGGCGGCTGGAGAGAAGGGAAGGGCGTTGTTGAATGGAGGCGAAGTGTTAAATTATGATAATTGAATCCGCAGAAGGCAGCTGCTGACGCCAGTGCGGAAATGTCATTGTGGGAGGAGACGCCACGCACTCAGTCCCAAACGCGAAGAGGAGCAATTATTGCAAATAGATATAGATATAGGAATGCAGAGCATATAAAACACTTAACCACTGCCATCTGGCCAGCAATGGCCATGCAAAGAACGAGTGTTGGCCGAAGTGTTGGCCCTGATATGCGTACGTGATGCCAGTGCTGCCATTAAACGGTTTTCGTCAAGGATGGGCCTTAAGTGGTTTGTTTTGGGCGAGGGCTTTCGACTATATAAACCACTCTCGACTGTAGCCAAGATGTCATTCAGAAGTCAAGCTTCCAAGTAACACAAACAATCAGCAAAATGATGAAATTCGTAAGTAGAATGAACCCCTGGCTCCATCAAGAGGACTCTTCTTAATGCATCCTCCTTCTCCTCCTCCTCCTCCTTCTTCGATTGCAGTTCGCCCTCGTCCTGTGCGCTCTGTTCGCCGCTGCTGCCGCCAGTCCCGGACTCCTGGCCTACAACGCCGCCTACTCCGCCCCGCTGGCCTACTCCTCCTCGTTGGCCTACACCGCCCCCGTGGCCTACTCCTCCCCTGTGGCCTACACCGCCGCGTACGCCCCCTATGTGGCTCCCTATGCCAGCAGCGTGAGCGCCCACACCGTGGCCCACAGCGCCGCCTTCCCGGCTGTCTATGCCGCAGCTCCAGTGGCCGCTGTCCTGAAGAAGTAGGATGCCACACGCGCATGCCACAGCCACACACACTCGTACGACAAATAAAGAAATGCAATGCAACAATGCAGCAGGCCCACGCGCTGACTGACTGAGAAATATCTCCTCGAGTTTTATTTTCTGCGCCATTCGATGGTTCTGGTCTCTGCTCTCTGGTCTCTGGTTCATTGACTTTTGACCACGTTCCTCAATCTAATCCTTGGGGCTTTCCTTTTAGTGCGGCAGCGAGTGTCATTTTTAATTGAAAATTGCGTGTGGCAGAGGGCCACAGGGCCACAGCTCTTAGGTTCCTGCCCCTTCAACTGCTGCTGCTGCTGCTGCTGCTGCCGCTGTTGCCGCTGTTTCTCTTTCAGTTGCACTTAATTAAAAGGCGCCGCTGAAATTGCATTTCGTTAATCGCAAACAATCAATAAGCCAAAGGAGTCACGCCCCTTGCCACGGCTCAGTCCCCCCGCGCACCGCCCCCCATTCGTGGCATTAATCATACCGTGCCGCGTGCAACCAGCAACCGGCAACCGGCAACCGGCAAACAGTGCAAAATTGGCAACAAACTCTTGGCCCAGAGAACGACATTTAACTCCGACTAAATTTGCAAATTAAATCTAGTCTTTGACTCGCGTTGATGGCAAATTCGTTTAAATTCGTTGTTTTCAACGCCTTTGAAACGCCTCCTTCCTCAGACCCCACCCTCTCCTGCTCCGCCTCTACCTCCTCCACCGCTTGCTGCTGCTGCCGCTGCTGCTGTTGCACGTGGGTCTGGGGTTCTGGCAGCGAATGTACTTGTCGCTGCTGCAGCGCAAAAATTAAATTAAAATCTTTGGTCTCGACGGCCACGCCTCTTCCGAAAAGCGGGCTGAGGCGGGGAAGACCCAGGCATTTCCCATGGAAGCACAGAGAGTACCCTGCAGAGTGGGGAGCAGAGAGTACCCTGCAGACAGGGGCGCAGAAAGTACCCTGCAGAGCACGGGTATGCCGACTGTTGCATAAATGTAAGTCACATTGGAGGCGCCCCCTCCTCGCTGGAGCTCTAAAAGGCTTAAGGCCCCAAAGGGGGTGAACTGATTCACACTTTGTATATTTCCATATCCATTTATCCATATTCATCCATCCTTATCCATATTTCCTAGCATTTCTGGTGCTTTGCAGCTCTGAAATACTTCGGATGCCTTTAATAGGTAGATTTCAGTCGACTAGATGGACCGCATATCCCGTGCTACCCCGGACAGATACTCCTGTGGAGGGTCTGCCCCCTTCGTCTGAATTTAACCCTGGCACACGAGTGCTCTGCCCCTCCAATTGGCTCTGATTCACGCACAAACTTCTAGGCCTACGAGGCGTGTTTTCCCAGCGATAATTACCCCCTGCTGACTGGGCCTCAAGAACGCGTACTCGTGTGGTATGGTGTGGTGGCACAATCTTGTCTAATTGACAGTCGAACGATAGTCGATTACGATACGATATGCGTACAGCGACAGGGAGAAGTGAGCATTGAAACGATAATGGCAGCGAGTGGCAGCGATTAGAACTTGTTGCTCGATCAATTATAATTATCGGAGACATCAATAAGCGATGGACGGACGGACGGACGGACGGCCGGGGCCCACCGTAAACAAAAACCGGACCGATCCGCCAAGTGCTCGAGTTTCAACCTGGAGCCCAATAAATTGTGTGTTTTGATTTAATCGTTGCGTTTCTGTGTTGCTGTGTTGCACAAGTGCCACAAAATTAATTGCCAGTGATTTTTCGCACTGTGTAGAATATGGAGAGACGGAGACGGAGCCGTAGCCGGAGCCGGATCTGTGTAGAGGCTCCTACTCTTAATTGAAATGCGTCGCCTGGGAGATTTACAGCCGCATTGGGAAGTCGCTGGTCATCGCCCACCTACCTACCTATCGTATATGGTATATAGAACCTGCCGATATGCAAATCTCCTTCGAGCTACGCTTGCTCCAGGAGATGGCACGCCTCCGCCCCTTTTTCCTTTCCATTTGCCCGGCAGGCCCCATCGACGAGGCTGCTGAGATTTACGCATGCAACTTTTGGGGGCTGCCCCTCCGAGAGGAGAGGAGAGGAGAGGAGAGTGTTAAGTGCCACAGATAGAGTCTTACGTAAAAAAGTGTGTCCGAAAAGTGTGGCATAGAGTGGGTCGTTCACTGGCAATTAAGTGGCAGCCAGAGCTCCCATGAATTATGAGTGCCCGATGCCCTCGTGGCGGCATACCCTCCCAGCGTCTCCGCTGGCCTGACCTTGCCCACGCCTCTGCCATTTATCGAGCGGTCGGTCGATCGGTCGATCGGTTATTGTTCGAGAACAATACGAGTATGCTGATCTGGCTGTGCCCTACATCGAGGCACGGCATCTCTCTTGTGCGGAGTCCGGTTTGGCAACAGCAGCCTCAGCAGCACTGCCTCACGCACAGGTGTGCGCCACAGACACGCCCCATTCACGGCAGCCACAGCCACAGTCACAGATCTGTGCCATAATTAAGACTTTTGCTCTTTGGTGGGGCTGCTGCAACTCCAATTGGCTGAGCATTTAGCCCGGTGCACGGCAGTGCAGTGCAGAAATTTCTACAAAAGGCTTACGCATTCGTTGCGGCTCATTTAAATGATTTCCAGGGGAAGGAAGCGGAGGGGAAACTTGTTAACTGCCCAAAAAAAAAAGAACCGAAGCAAAAACCAAGAAAACAAAATGCAATTTAAGTTTTTCTCACACACACCTCCCACAGACCCCCGGACTCCACTCCACTCGGCTCCACTCGACTCGACGCGACGGCGGCTTTTGGCAAATACAAATTTATCAGAAATTATTCAAAGCAAAGGCTGGTCTCTGGCCCCATGGGACGAAGAGTTTGATACGCTTTCCGAAGGATTTTGGCAGTATTCAGTGCCCAAATGCCTGTCCAGAATAAAGGTACCCATGGCTCTGCCCATAACTCTGCCTTCTGTGATGGCCACCTCTTCTACCCTTTAGGAACCGAAAGATTCGTCCGTAGAATAACACTCCTCCAAGGATGCGTCCATGAATTTCCAGCAAACATCCGCCCAGATGGCGCACACTGCACCAGGAAAAGTGTGTGAAAGAGAGAGAGAGAGTCGCCGAAATCGAATTTGTTCCCTCTGGTTTTAATAGTGATCAGATCTAAGCCAGATTCGGCAATCTGCTGATATGATCCTTCTCTATGATTCTTCGTCTTTGATGGCTTCGTTTTCTTTGTTCTTATCCCCTGATGGTCCCTGATTTGCAATACCCTCCGCCAGGGTATACTTGAATCTCAGTCACAGCCAAACATCCGCGTTGCTTGGGGTTGGGGCGCGGCGGGGCGGGGCTGTGCGAGTCGGGGTCCCGGGCCACGATCTCCATCTCGATACCAGCTTTGCATGTCTCTCTCTCTCTCTCTCTCCTTCTCTCGGTGTCTCTCTTTCCCTCTCTGTGTCTCTCTGTGTCTCTCTTCCATGCAACAAAAGTAAAAGTGCATTCGGTCTGGTCTCCATCTGTGGGTCTCTGGGTCTTTGGGCCGCCATCCGTTCGTTCTCGCGCAACGTTTTTGGGCAAGTCTGTGGGCTATAAAAGCATTTGTGCCTTAGACAGCGGCATTATTCAGCTGGTGCCCAGTGTTCTTGCCACGACTCCATACCACACGCCACTCAAAATGTTCAAATACGTAAGTGACTTGGAACCCCTTGCGGGATCTCCTCCAGTGTAACGCCCTGTGCCTCTTCCCGTTCGCAGTTCGTGTTCGCCGTCTTCTGCCTGGCCAGTGCCGCCGCCGCTCCCTCTCCCGCTCCGGGATACCTGGGAGGATTGGGTGCTCCGTCGCTGCCTTTGGCCGCCGCTCCGGCCATCTCGTACGGCCACGCCCTGGCCGCACCGGCCTACAGCCACGGCCTGACCGCTCCATCGTATGCCGCCTCCTACGGCCTGGCTCCCAGGATTAGCTACGCCGCCCCCGCCCTGGCCCACGCTCCGCTGGCTGCTCCGGCCATCTCGGCCTACGGACTGGGCCCGAGGCTCAGCTATGCCTCGCCAGCTCTGGGCCACGCTCCACTCGGTCTGGGCCTGGGACTGGCCCATGCTCCTCTTGGCCTGGCCCATGCTCCCCTGGGCCTGGCTCATGCTCCCCTGGGATTGGGCTACAAGTCGATTGCCGCTCCCTCCTACGGCCTGGCCCATGGCTGGTAAACGGATGCGGATGCCTCCGCCATGCCTCCTCCTTCCAGCTCTTCATTCGTTTCATCCAGAGGAGGGGAATTTGTGCTTCAAAAGAAAACAATGTTAAAAAAGTGAATTCTGCGGTTGAATTATGTACCAATATATTTCGTTTCCATTTCAAAACTTTCAAAATGCATTTTTCCATGGGGAAAACCCCGCTCGGATGTCCTTTCCAGAAGATCCTTGCCCACGATTCACTCAAATGAAACTCTCGATCGATTTTGTGTGTTGTTCAGGTCAGATAAATTTATTTGATGGCTTCATTGGCTGACTGACTGAGTGATTGATTGATTGATTAAGGCTATCGGAATATGTTGTGTATGACTCGATTGGAAACTCTCACATGTTGCACGTTCGCCTTGACGTTAGTTGGATCTTCGTTGGAGTCGGATCGGAGTGGCTTCTACCAGCCATGCCCGTAGCCGTAGCCGCCTAGACCCAGACCCACACCCAGACCCAAGCCGTGTCCTCCGTAGAGTCCGTGTCCGTAGCCCCCCAGGTAGCCGTGTCCCAGACCCAGGCCGTAGCCATGGCCCAGCCCGTAGCCCCCATAGCCCCCTAGATAGCTCTTTCCGATGATCGTCTTGGAGATGATGGGCGCGTGGTATCCCAGGTCCAGGCCCAATCCTCCGTGGTATCCGCCATGGTAGCCGCCGTAGTGGCCGACGCCCAGACCCAGTCCCAGTCCCAGTCCGAGTCCGTAGCTATGTCCCAGGCCAATCCCAATGCCAGACGGAGCAGGGGCTGGAGCAGGAGCAGGTGCCGGAGCGGGGGCAGGGGCTGGCGCTGGCTCTGGATCGGGGGCAGGAGCTGCCAGTCCTCTCGTCGTCAGGCACAGGACCGTCACGAGTATCAACTGGATGGGGGAGCAGGACACAGGGTCAGATGGGTATCCTTTTCGGCGGGTATCCTTTACTTACTCCCTTCATCATGTGGCTGGCTGGATGGTTGCTGTCGCTGTGTCGCTGTATCGCTGTATCGGTGTGTCTGCTCTGGGGACTGTCGGATCCAATAATGTTGCTGCAGTTGCTCGGAGCCTGGGTCTTTTATACCAGTCCCCAGCTGCACTCGAGTCCTGCCCAAAATGGCCATTGGTGATCTAATGAGCACTGCAAATGGCTAATCTAATTCACTTCCAGTTACAGCCCAAACCACAGCCCAAGCCCAAGCCCGCCACTTGCCACCAGCCACTTGCCACAGAGCCATCCTTGGCCGCGGACGACGTCACACGAAAGCCAGTTCCATGCGAGTTTCGGCTCCATTTGGGCCTCCTCCATTGAATAATCAGCGATCGGATCGGGTTTGGCATTTACTTGTACCAGTTCCCCATTTACCATTTCCAGTCGCCACAGCAGCAGCAGCAGCTCTGAATCTCAAGCGGAATCATCCGGTGGGTGGCCCATTCATGGGGGCGCAGCAATCAAATGATTTTGACTGAGAACTGTCGCTTGGGACTGAGATTGAGGTCAAAGCAGAGATGAAAGATTCAATTAAGACACATTTCTGGATGCTCTTTCTGTATCTTTACGATCCATCTGCCCATTGAATGCCACTTATCGATTGACAAACATTTGCCCAAAGACAGACAAAGGTCTGCGCCACTCCGTCAAGGGTATGCATCGATTAGAGGGTATAATTTATGCTTAAAGAGCACCAATCTCTGCCAAATAAAGCCGAAGACTAATCAATTCCTTACACCTCCGAAGAGCTATCATCAATCGAATGAATGATTGGGCAACGCTTAACGATAGATCGATCATAGACAATGGAAGCCACGGAGACGGAGACGGAGACGGAGACGGAGACAGGGACCGACTAACACACACGGCCCATAAAAAGCAGAAAGAGAAATGTAAAGCGAGAGATACGACACGAGTATCTGTAGTATAATTATGTGCACAAAAGAGTCACTGACACTTGGACAATCCCAGGCGTAGACCAGCCGCAAGACGGTTTAAACTTGAACTTGAAAACGGGTTTACGGAGAGAGGCAGAGAGGGAGAGAGGCGGGGTGGATCGATGGCAGAGTGGCTTTGGGGAGATGTTGCAACAGGTTCCATGGGGCATGGGGTTACAAAGGAAATGCAACCGGTTCTCCTAACTGTACGATCGAATGGGGAACATTCATGGGGCGGAAGACCAGAAGAGGGGCCTATAAATTGAGTGGCCTTCAACGGGCCGCTCCTTAGTCCAAGTGCAGTCGCGGTCACAAAAGCAACACAGCGGACGCGGACGAGGACGAGGATGGGAGTGCTCAAGGTAAACCAGGAGTGGGATGTGTACTGTAGGTATTCTGATCTGTAATCGCTTCTTGGAAGACTTTCATGTGCTTCCTGCTGCTGAGTGCGAGCCTCCAGCTGGGACTGGCCGCCACCGTGATCTACCACCACCATCCGGTCTATCCGATCTATCGCCATCCACTGCACGAGCAACATCCTGGCTACACCATTGTGGCGCCCCTCACGAAGATTGCCCACGTCACCTACGACTCGGTGCCCATCTCCCACACGCCCTTCGAGCACGTGCCCCTCTTCCAGCGCATTGGCCACGTGAAGAAAGTCCGACGGTGGCCAGAAGGGGGATCCTAGGGAGGATCCCTGATTGAAAGACTTGCAATAAATATATTTATAATGGATTTATTATATGTGTGCGTATTCGCCAAGCATTTCTGCTCTCTCTCTCTCTCTCGCTCTAGGGGAAATTCGGGCTATGTTCTACGTGCTAATAGGACGGATGGCGGATGGCGGATGGAGGGATGGGCGTTCTGTGATCCTTAGAAGAAGTAGGGGGAGGGGGCGGCGAACTTGGGTCCGACGGCCAGAGGAGCGGCCGCGAAGGGTCCAAAGCCGAACTTTGCGGGTGCGGCGAATGCCACGGGCGCTGGAGCGGCGAATCCCAGGGGAGCAGCCACCGGAGCGGCCAGTGGAGCAGGTGCGGGAGCCAGAGCCGGTGCTGGGGCTGGGGCAGCGAATGCCACCTTTGGTGGGGCCGGGGCCAGGCCGGGAGCAGCGAAGGCGGGCAGACCGAAGGCCACCTTGTTGGGGGCGGCGAATGCCAACGGAGCAGGAGCCGCGAATCCGGGCGCAAAGCCAGCGAAAGCAGGAGCGGCGAATGCAGGAGCAGGAGCAGCAAAGGCCACAGGAGCGGGGGCAGCCACTGGCACTGGAGCGGGAGCGGCAAAGGCCACGGGAGCGGGAGCGGGAGCAGGAGCCACGGGGTAGGCCACGGCGTGATTGATGCGATGGGCATTGAAGCTGGAGGCGTAGGGAGCCACCACTCCGGCGGTGGCCACTGGTGCCGCCAGAGGAACGGGGCCGGCGTGGAAGGGCAGCAGACCAGCCTGGGCGGTGGCCACGCAGAGAGCAACGAGCTGGAACGAAGGGGGAGGATGATGTAGATGGATCGATCCCCAAGGATATCCTCCGGACTTACCATAATCTTGGCGAACATCTTGCTTGGCTTGGCTTGGGATTGGGATCGGGACTGGAGCTGTGTGATTAGCTTGAGGGCTGACTAGGCTTTGATATCGAACTGTCGGCCGATCAATGCTTTTATAATTCTCCCCGAAACGAATCGATTCGAATCGAATCGAATGGAGTCCGTGGCGGAGCATACGAAAATACCTTGCAAGACTTTCTATATCGGGCCCGTCGAAGGGCGCCAGTGCGACATTTCGTATGTACTTAATAATCAATTGGTCGCCTCTTACGTGCGACACATGGCCTCCCCGCCTACCGCGAAGAGTGCCCTGCCCTGCCCTGCCCTGCCCCTTGGCTTTCATAATTGCACGCAATTCCAGACCATAACCTAGCCCAATGACCGGGGATATTGGATATTGGGCAAGATTTCGCTTTGCTTATGACGAGAAACCCGCCCCGCCCCGCCACGCCCCGAACCGCCCCACGTTAGCCCCCCAATTACTTACCCAAAATACGTGCTGTCCCCTCCAGCTCCAGCTCCACCTCTCCTTCGCCCTGCCATTTAATTGGAATACACTGTTGTTGCAACAATTGTCGCGTGTGTTGCTGTTGCTGTGGCTGTTGCTGTGTCTGGAATTTCTGATTCGATTTCTTGTTGCGTGCAGTGGAAATTTACGAACAACATTTCTGCCTTCCCTCGCGTTAGAGGCGGGCAACGCCACATTTGGCGGCATTACGACTCGGCGTCTGGCGTGTAATGAGAGATTCAATCAGATTATCCATCACCTGTACACGAGTGCGAGTATTTTGGGGTATTTACTGTACGATGTACTGGTAATTTGATTCAAGGCAACTCAAGGCATTTCTTGAGATTTTGCCATTTCCCAGACGGAGCAGGATGGATCTCTGCTATCGTAATCGAGGCCTGGCTAATCGATCGATGAATACCATCCCAATCGCAAACTAAGGCCAAGACCAGGACCATCCGGGCCACACCGAAGGTGGAATACACTCATACCTAAACCCACACACATACCTACTTATCGGATCAGTTTTGCTAAAAAATAGGAAATTAAAAAAAAAAAAAATTCAATTTTGTTTAAATTTTATTCTAGTTAATCGATAAATAATGGATGTTTTACATAGAATGTTATCGTTTGGGATTTACTAAATTAGTTTCTTGATTCGTTCTTTGGTTAGCTTCGCTTAATCCATCCCATCCGGTCCCCAAGGTGCAGTCCTAGAACAGGGAATGGTGATGCTTGTGGATCAGCTTCGTGAGGGGCAGGCCACGCAGGTGGGCGTGCTGGGGGTGGGGGTGGGCGTGTGCGTGGGCGAGCAGCTTGGGGAAGGCGTAGCCGATGGACACATGGTGGGTGGTGGTCTTTGGCCCGGGAATCGCCCGGTAGGTGGGCGTCGCAAAGGGCGCGGCCTCCAGGACGGGTGGCAGCACCTGGTGGGTTATCGTCAGCTCAGCGGGTGGGAGGAAGGGCGTGGCAGCTGGCAGAAGATGATGGGGAAGGGGAGCTGGAGCGGGCAGAAGGGGAGCTGGAGCGGGCAGCAGTGGAGCTGGAGCGGGCAGAAGTGGTGCGGGTGCGAATACTGGTGGTGCGGGTGCGTATACCGGTGGTGCAGGAATGAATTGCGGCGGCGGAGGAGCCACAAGAGCTGGTGCCGGTCCATAAACGGGTGGTGCCGGTGCGTATACGGGTGGTGCTGGGGCAAAGGCTGGTGGTGGAGCAGGCGCTGGCAGGAATGGCGCCGCGTAATCCAAATGCTCCGCCAGCGGAGCCTGCAGTGGTGCGTGCAGCGGCTCCAAGTGCTCGAAATGGTGCGGATCGAAGTGATTGAAGTGCTGATTGAAGTGTGGATTGAAGTGCTGATCAAAGTGTGCCGACGGCTTGGCCTCCCCCGCCGCCAAGAGGATCGCCAGAGCGAGTGCCTGTGGGAAGATTTTAGTCGTATTTGAGTCCTTCAGTGCGATTGAGGACTCCTCGAATCCTTACCCAAATGTGGTGCCGCATAGTGCTTGGAGCTTTGTGGTTTTGTTGCTGGGACTTCTAGGATATGCTCGCCCTCAGAGCTGTGCGATTAGTGTTTGTCCATTGTCAACACTCGTTAATATTTATAGGGAAATGGCTGTGGCCCTGCCCGCCGCTCTTCTTCACTTTCCATTTCCCCCTGGCCCCCACCTGGCAGTGCCGCGACTGCCAAGTGGGTCTCTATGGCTCTCCACGAGTATGGGCTGGGCTGGTCTGGGCTGCGGGTGAGGCAATGGGGCAACGAGGCAATGAGGCAATGGTAATCCGCTTTAGTTGGTCAGTGAGTCGTGACTGCCACCATCGGTGGATGAATGGCCGGATGGTTGGATCGATGGCTAGGGCCAATAACTTCTTGGGCGATTTGAAAGCTTGCCCCCCCCCCCACCGATTATATAACCCATGTAACCCCCATTGACAGTTTCTTCGTTCGAATGCGATTATGATAATCCATAAATCACAATCCCCCCCCGCCCCGTGGCAGTGCAATCCAAGCATTTGTTGGTGGGGGCAAACTTTTTAGTTTCGCATTTAATCAAAAAGTTAGTACAGTTACACAAAATTGGCTATAGCTTGGTGTCTGGCGTTTTCCTTAGACCACGACTTGGGGAGCAGCGTAGGGAGCGGCGTAGGGGGAGGCGAGGTAGGGAGAGGCGTAGGGAGAGGCGTAGGGAGAGGCGTAGGGAGCGGCGTAGGGAGCGGCATAGGGAGCGGCGTAGGGAGCGGCGTAGGGATAGGCAGAGTAGGCGGCGGCAGCTCCCAGGGCAGAGGCGTAAGGAGTCGAGTACGCAGCCGTCAGCGGAGCGGAGTAAGCGGCGGCGGCGGCCGTCAGGGGAGCAGCAGCGTACCGGGCGGACACCAGGGCGGGGGCGGCCGGAACACCCGACACGTAGCGGCTGGAGACGGGTCCGGCGTACTCGAACGGAGCCGTCGTGTAGGAGGAGAGGGTGCCGTCGTAGTTGTTGCGGACATCCACCTGGCTGCTGCCACCGGCGGCTGACAGGGGAGCCGTGACCACGGGCACACTGGCCACTGGGGCGGTGGCCAGAGGAACGCCACCCACGGGCAGACTGAGTGGAGCCACCAGACCGGGCTTGGCCGAGGAGCAGGCGATGAGGGCGGCAATAACCAACTGGAAGGGAGAGAGAGAGAGATTCTGGTTAGATATTCCATCAATGGAGTGCTTGGATCCTTCGGATTTACTCACAAACTTGAACATTTTGCTGTGGTGGGGTTGTGTCTAAAGCTCTTGAGCGATAATGTACATTCCCATCCGACCGAGGGCCTTATATACAGCTCTGTCCAGTGATCGCTTTTGAGGGACATTCTGTCTGTTTTTTGGTCGCTTCTTCTGCCGATCGACTGCCGAGTGCCTGCCCCTGGATGTGGCTCGAATACCTGATGGCATCACCCACGGTGCTGCGACGGTGCTACGTGCCACGCTGCTTCAATTGCCAAAATATGCCAAATAATGTCGGAAGTTGTCCGCTCAAGTGGTTCGCGCTTCGATCTTCGATCTGTGATCCACTTTGTATGCAATGTATGTGGGATTCCAGTGGGTAGCAGAGCGGCTGTCGGCTGTCGGCGGTCAGTGGTTGGTGGTCAGCCAATTTGCAGTCTGTTTGGGCCATCAATGTCTGCTGCCCTGCAGCTGCCCCTGCTACCCGATTCGTACGCAATCTAAGCCAAATGGGCCATAAAATGGCCGCCTCCAAGCTGGCAAACCCCCCCAGCTAAATGTCTCATTAGTTCGCTTTTTAATGCCCCAGATCCCCCATAAAATTCACTCGTAAATGTAGCTCTCATCCTTGCCGCCGGACTTTGTGGCGCTGTTTGCTCTTCTGTTTCCCCCTACTTGACCTTGACGCCATCTGTGTCCACAGGATGAATCTGACTCTGCCACTCCCACCCCCACTCCTCTCTCTCTCTACCTACCTCCCTCCCGTTTTGCCCACAGATCAGTCAGGCGCCTTAATTGGCCATCGAGGCGGAGAAGCGGCGAGAAACAAGCAATAAGCAACAAGCAACCATCAAGCAGTAAGCAGTAAGCAGAGACCAGCGTGCTGGTCGAAACCGGCTCTTGGACTTAATGAGCCATCCGAGTGCGGTCACGTGCTGGCCTGGTCCATCGTCATCATCGTCATCTGATGTGCTGGCCTGAAGCCAACACTTTGCCCTCTCTCTCTCTATCTGAGAAGAGGTAAAGCTCTCAGAGCGTGAGGCTTGTTTTCGGCATTCATGGAGATCTCCTTGGGCTGGCAGAATCCTCTGGACAGATGTCCATTCAACAGGTAGAGCATCTCCACTTCGTCTTGCTTCTGGTCCCAGCCACCAATCAGATCAGATGATTATGACGCTGATCTCTCAAGGCTGTGGACGCGATGACGAGTGGTCGAGTCGATGAGTCGATGAGTCGAGTTGTTGTCTGGGGGAACGCATGTAACTGTATCCGTGTTGCTGCCACCGCAACAGGCGGTCTCCACAGTCTGTGACCTCTCTTTTCCCCCCATTCCATTCCATTCCATTCCATTCTTGAGACTGAGTTTCTCTGATTCTCGACTGATGACGCGAAGATTTTCCAGTGAGTCAAGCACGGAAATGCTGTGCTACGACTACATACCATCGCCATCTCCATCTCCATCATCATTACCATTTCTGCAGACATCAAGATCTTGTATCTTCAATCTTCCATCTTCACACCACTCCACACTCCATCCACAATCCACTCATTTCCTAGTTAACCTTTTTGATCGGTTTAGAGAAGCGCCTTCTTCAGCCAGCCCCCAAGAATTATTCGTGGCTGGTGGGGCCGTGGGGTACCGTTTGTTTTAATGGATTTTTGGAAATTGAAATTTATTCAGTGTATGCGGGACATATTCCTGTTTCTGTTTTTGTGGGAAAGCAGGTTCTATCCCATCCCCAGATCCACCAGATCCAGATCTCAGATCTGAGTTCCGTTCCCAGATTCTGATCGATGACAGTTTGGGGGCTTAATTGACGCTCGATAAATATACGTCAGATTTAAGAGTTAAGAGCTGAGCGCTAAGGGGGCTTTGATTGGGTTTAAGCCATGTTTTAACAGCTCTGAGGCTCTGTCTGTCTCTCTGTCTGTCTTTCTGTGTTCCAATGCCAAGTTTAAGGTTTAAGGTCTCTCTCTCTCTCTCTCGTCATGAGTCGCAAAAGCCAAGAGCCCAAGAGCCCAAGAGCCAAAGATGATGGAGAGGAGATCTCTTGGCCCGATTTGTGTGTATTTGTATGCAAATTAGTTGGCCCATTCGATGGACTGGACTACAGTGGAGTGAAGAGCGAAGAGTGGTTTGCAGTGGAGTGGAGTGGGGAGTGAAAGGTGTAAACCATTGGATGAAGACCTCTTTTTTTTTGGGGGGCAACCTTCAGCTCGACACTCGTATACGTATGCGTATACGTATACGTATACGTATAGGAGTATTATGCAAATGCATCAATCGATGGCTCAGATGGCAATGAGAGGAGGATCCAATGGCCAATAAACCCAGAGATACGTTCAGATGGCAAGTTTATTTTAATGTTTAATGTTGAAGGTGCACGGTGTATGGGTATTCAATGTGGTATTCGCTATGAGGAGTACTATGAGCGGTCATCATCGCAGTTTGCAGATCAGTCGGGATGTGACGCTGTCCATCTGTCCATCTGTCTATCTTTATCTTTATCTTTATCTTTATCGCTTTAATATTATTTGTAATTTATTCTACTGTTGAATGGTGTGGCATTCCTAGCGCCTTTGGATCTGCGGAGTTCCGTAGGAGGTGAGGCCCGTGGTGTGTGGCACGCTGGCGTAGGGCGCCCCCGCCTGGAGGGGCAGCTGTGCCACATTCAGGGGTGCCAGGCCGAAGGGCACCGGCAGCTTGAGGTTCAGCGAATTGGCATCCATGGAGGCGGAGACGGAGGCGACTCCCCCAGCAATCGAGCGGCCTGTGGCAGCTGCAAGTGGGGCAGGCTTCGGTGCCTTCAGCGGCTGCGACTGTTGCGGGGGCTGGGGTGCCGCCTGGACCGCTGGCAGTGGCGCCGAGGGTGCTCCAAAGACATATCCCTGGCTGGTGAGTGCCTGCGTGAAGGCGGCGTGCTCCAGGTGGGGGGCAGCAAACTGTCGGGCCAATTGCTGGTACTGTTGCTGGGGAGGCTGATACCTCTGCTGCTGCTGCTGTTGCTGCTGCTGTTGCACTCGCTGTGGCAGCTGCTGACGCGGGGCGGGATAGTGGTAGTATGCCACCTGGGAGCTGGGGGTGATCGTGTACTCCAGATGGGAGACGTCTCCGAAGGCGGCATTCAACAGCTGCAGGAGCAGCAGGCACAGGAAGGATACCTGAAAGGGTTTCGATTGGGGATTAATCCCTTTTTGGGGGGCTTTCTTTCATCACTTTCTTCCAAAACTCTCACTCACTTTGGGGCTCATTTTAATGATTTTTTGTACAAAAATAAAACTAGAAAAAAACAACTGTCTGCACTTTATGGTATTCGATATTCGATGTTCTTATTCCCGATTATCGATCGATTCTCAGCTCGATTCTTGGATGGCTGTGCTACGATAGATCCACCGCTTGCGTCGATCCCTAAATGATGTTCCACTGCGAAGCTTTGGCAGCTGATTAAAATTTGTGCCCCCGCCGAAGATGCTTTTTATAGGAGGTCTCTGAGGAGAGAGGAGACTGTCGACTGTCGAGTGTCGAGTGTCGGACTCTCTGCGGTTCTCAGACCCGTTCGCATGCACTGCCATTACCTCTTCTCTGAGAGTCCCTCTCCCGCTCTCTCTCTCTATCTTTTGTTGTGAAGCTTTTTGGCATTTTGTTGCTGTTGCTGCTGTTGCTGCTGCTGCTGCTGGCTTTTGTTTTGTTTGCAGCCAAGTGTTGATGTTGATTTGTTGTCTCTTAACAAACCTGTCGATTATTGACTGTCGATTGTTGACTGCTCGAACGCGTGTTTGGTTTTCCTTGCATGCTCGCCTGTGTATAAATCAATGTTGGTCGTTTTTATTGGCATCCGAACTATGCAACAAACCGAGTCGCCACTCGCCAGGGGCTCCGCCCCAGAGGGGTTCGTTCTCCCACCTCCCCTAGAAGCCCCCTCCCGGGCAGACTCCACAGCCCTGCTCTCGGGCTGAGAGCTTATTAAACAGAAACAGCAATCGAGTGTCATGTGACAGAAGCCCCAAATGCCGCACAAACATAAAAGCCATTAGCCCCCAGACAAAGGCGCAAGAAAAAAACACAAACACACAAACACCTGAGGACTTGTGCGCGGGTTTTGCATGCTAAACGAACGAGCGATAGATGTATCTGTATCTGTATCTGTATCTGTGTCTATGTGTAGATGTCTCTATCAATCGGAATACGAGTACGAGATTGACCTCCCAATCGAGTCGCATTCGCATCTCATTTAAAGCTCATCATGTGCTCAGTGTTTTCGGTCTGATGGGGGGTGGCGAGGGGGGAGGGGGATCTATTAAACTATTGACCCATTTGGGGCATACACCGAGAGAGAGCTTCGCTCTCAGCAACTGTTGAGGTGGGTCAGTGGAGGGGTATTCTTCCCACCACTCTCGTGGGACCTCTCTCCTCTTCCATCTCTCTCTGGCTCAGTGTCAAGCCGCGCCTTTGACCAAATTGGCAAGCCACGAAAACGAAAAGCCTCCATCGATGGCTCGAACCGCCTCGAGCTGCCATGAACACTTGAATTATTTATGTCTATCGGGGCTTTAATCATAATTAAATCGGTGTTCGCTGTTCGCTGTTCGCTGTTCTACGCATAAATTGCCGAGTCTCTCGTCTCGGATAACACACTGAGCATTAAAATTAAACAACATTATAATTTGGGTTTAATTAATTGCTAATTTGAGGAAATAAATTCATTCATATTTTACGCATATTTATGCGGGTATTTATGCATCTGGAAACAGAGCCTACCAGCCCTGGTTGGCGCCGTAGGACAGAGACGGCGGCGGCGGCGGCGGTGGAGCCCCGTAGACGGCGGCTGGCGATGGTGGAGGCGCCCCAAAGTGCAGTTTGTATCTGCCATGGAATGCTGGTGCTGCTGCTGCCAACTGGTAGCCAGGAGGCGGTGCAAATCTCGACAAGAACTGCGAACGGGCTGGAGCAGCATACGGGGGCGCTGCATAGTGAGGCGCCGCATACTGAAGAGGCGGCGGTGCGGCATACTGAAGCGGAGGCAGTGCTGCGTATTGAGGAGGAGGAGGAGGAGGCGGTGCCGCATATCCCGTATACGTTGTGGTTGTGGTGGTCACTGGAGCCCCCAAAGAGTACTTGATGGCAGGAGCAGGGGCCGCATAGGCAGCGGCATAGTTGAAGTGTGCCTTAGGCGGAGGAGGAGCTGCATGGTAGAAAGAAGGAACAGATGCATAACCGTAGGCGGCAGGAACGGTCACGGTGTCGGACACGGCCACAGGGGCAGGCACTGCCACTGGAGCAGGCACTGCCACGGGAACTGGAGAGGGCACCGACACAGGCACAGGCACATGGACCGGAAATGGAACACCGACCGGAACTCCCACTGCTGCTGGTGCTGGGGCGTGGCCATGGAAGAAGCTGCCAAGGGCAGGGGCAGCTCCAAGGCAGATCAGGGCACCGACCAGAGCCACACTCTAAAGGAGATTCGATTCGATTATCCAATTATAAAATGCACTAATTCCACCACGGGATCTGCTGCTCTTACAATATTCAACATTTTTGGGCTATGCTTTCTTCCGACTCCGATTCCGTATTCCCGTATTCGGTCTTAGCTTCACCGTCCAACACTTTCACACGTAATGAATCGATTTTCGGTGCCATTGCAGGTTTATATAGTACCACCGATCCATGATAAACCACGATCCGAGTTGCGTCGCACACATTATGCTGATGTCGCGGAGGAAGGAGGAGGCGGCAGCGGTGGCGGAGGCGGCGGAGGAGAAAGAGGAGTCCGGCGAAAAGTAAAAACTCCATTAAGGGATCTGCGTGCACGACGTGCAATCGACAAAGCGACAAGCGAATCGTGCGGCAAATGCACAAGGCACTACGGCCCCCCCCCATCCATCCATCCCAAGACCCAGACATCCACTGGATATGACACGAAGTGAGTATATAGTGGGTATTCAGCATATGTTGCAATCGTTATCATTTGGGAGGGGACAGTGTGCTGGCCACCTGCTAAAAGATACAAATCATCGAAGAGAGCAGCTCCTCCTGGACTTCCAAAGAAGAATGCTTCTACCTAAGTCTAGAATTACTATAGAATGTTCTACGAACGATAATTCCCCAGGCTATCGACCATTTAAAGTGCTCAAGATATTCTTGTATCTTTTGAATCCCATGGATCAAATTTATGCGCACACGCCAACTGCAACTCCGACCTGTCTCCGCAAGCAACTTTTACTGCTGCCACTTCCCTTGCCCCTGCCCCTGCCCCTGCCCCTGCCCCTCCCAGTGCCAGTGCCAGTGCCACCAGCTGCATGAACAACAGCAACCACAGAGCGTCACAGAGAGGCGGAATGGCGATCACGTTCCAGGCGCCTTTTTATGCCTTATGACTCTTGATTGATGGCCGTTGCCAAAATATAAATGCCAAAATATCACACGGCCAGTTGAGAGCCGATTTATTGCCACCGCCAACGGAGCCCCAGAGCCCCCTGAGCAAACAGCCAGCAGCCAAGACGGGTCTCAATTAGCCAGGCCAAGCCCCCAAAAGCAGGCAACATAATAGAGCAGGAGGAGAGCGAGGCACTGCCTGAAAGTATGCCCCACTCCCAGTGGCCATATAAGAAAAAATGTGCTGTCGTAAACAGGGGATTTCCCTTTCGCGTGGCCAATTAAATGGCTGCCAAATGCGCGACACGCGCCCATCGAGAATGTCAACAGAACAATGAAAACAGAGGGAACGAGGCCGTGCACCCCTCCCTTCCCCTTCCCCTTCCCCTTCACCAAAGGGCCCCCCAAAGAAGAAGAAATTACCATAGCGAAAGTGGCTAAATCAGAAATCGATATGCACCTTCGCTGAACTGAGAGAGAACGCCGGGAGCACTGAGAGCAGTGGGAGCACTGGATCTGCCTGCACCTCGTGCCAGTCCTTGAGGCTGCCGCTGGCAACAGGTGCCTCTCGAGTCGCGGGTGCCCGTGTGTGTTCCTGCCAGGTAATTGGAGGGTATAAATCCGCAACACGTGGTGCGTAAACTGTTTTTGGGGGAGGCCCGGCCCGGCCCGGCCCGCGACTCTGGCAGAGTGCCCGGACCTCCAATCGCGCTCTTAATTGAAGTTCCCCCTTGATTGCAGTTTGGTTTTTAATCCCGTTTTCTTATTTATAGAACCTTCAAGCAAACCCTGTCAACCCTGTCAATGAACTGTGCTTTCTCCCAAGGCCATCTCCGGCAGGGCACGCTCTCGGGCTCTCCGGCTCTCCGGCTCTGCTGTTGCTGCATAAGATTATCGACAGCAAATCCCCTTTGCACGCAACAACAGAATAATCAGGAGCAGAGCTTCGGGAGGGGGCGTCAGAGCCAGTGTCATTGCACCATAACAAGGTCAGTCCATCAAGAGGGCCCTGGTCCTAGTCCTGGTCCTGGTCCTAGTCCTGGTCGTGGTCCCGGGTGTGGTCCAGCTGCGTGTGCATTTCCCCCAGTGCACGTACGGGTACGTGCACGTCCCTTCGGCCAGGGATCAGCACTTCCTGGAAGTTGTTTGACCCTTGCTCTGGCTTGTACGTCGTAATTAATTTTCCTCACTTGTTTCGTTGAGCTCTGATTGGATGCTCGTCATATTTTCTCGCCTCTGACTCGCATTTCAGAGCAGGTTGTAATCGGATTCGGATTGTGCTGTCAGTGCAGGTTCTAATTGCACCAGATGCTGATTGGATGCTTGGATGCTTGGATGCCTGGAGGATGTGTGATGTTTGTGGCGAGGTCCTTGCTCCCTGCGGTCGATGGCTCGTTATTAATGCAAAGCACAGGAGCAGGAGCACAGTTTCCGCATGAATAATCCCATTTTTCTTAGCATACTCTACGGATGGAATGGGGAGCTCTCAAGAGCCAAGACTCTGCTCAGATTTCCACTCGAAGAGAGACCCACAGCCAGGGGGAGCCGAGCGAACGAACGAACGAACAGGTGTGTTTCCGTTACGAGGTTGTGGGAATCGGCCGAGTTGCAAGTGTGCCATGAGAGAGCACCTGCCCCAGGTCGCAAGCCCCCAAGTGCTGCATATGCATCCACTTAGTGTCGTTTGCTGTACTTGAATGCATATTCAATGGCTCTGCTGCACTCGAGAGATGTAGGAAGCGGAATCTACCGGTCCCGCCTCTGCCTGTGCCTCTGCCTATGCCTCCGCCTCGGCCTCTCTGGGGCATGGAGACATTGCATTGTCTGGCTGTCGTCTGTTCGGATCTGCGAAGGCTGTTCTGTTGTTGCCAAATTATCGCTTGACTGGCTAATGGTAACGCCGTTGGCTGATGGCTGGCGGCTGGCTGGCCGTTGACTTAATAAACTCGTAATTATGACATGGTCTGTGATCATGGGATCATATGATCGCAAGATCGTAACAGCAGAGGGGAGGGGCTGATCAGCTGGACACAATTGTGTTGCACATTCCCCAAGGTCGTGGAGACGGAGACAAGCCCAACAATGGCTTATTGTTGTTATTTACTTGTGTTTCTGTTTGCATAAAATAATTTATTTTAAAGACTCCTCCCTCTTCTATTACGAGCAGATCGTTTTCATTGAATTCCCATAAACATGATTTTTCCATTTGCGCATAAATTATGCTGTTGAGGCCAGAATCTCTTGCGTCTTACGTCTTACGAGTCGAGTCCGAGTCTCTTGGCTGGCAAAAGCCAGCAATAAAGCGGTAATTAAGTGGCTTATTTCACTCCTGACTAACTCTCGAGGTGCTCCAATTTTTCACTTATGAAACGAGGCAAAAAGACCATTTAGCGAATCGCCAGCGTCTCTCCGTTGGAGTCTCCATTCCATTAATAAATAAATATTTCGACGCACTTTCCTCTCCTTTTACCAATCCCAGTCCCCCTTCAGGTGCGGGGGGGGCGACTGGTCAACCTGTTGGCAGGCGCACGCGCTTGTCGCTTGTCGCTTGTCGCTTGAGTCTTTCGTTTGTCCGTCCGGTCGGGTCCGTCTATCTGCAATGATAATTGCCAGGGAGGGGAAGGGGAGTGTGGAGTGTGGAGTGTTGCCAAGGCATTGCAATGCTATGAAATATTTTGTTTTTTCCTGCGAAAATTTCAAAACATTTGTCGGGAGCCGTCGCGTCGTTGCTTAAGCGAAATTAATTTGAAGTGCAATTGAATGTGGGATGGAATGGACAGGGGGAAGGGCGAGGAGTCGGTTCTTACTCAAGGGATCAGAGCCCCACACAGTATACATGTGACCCAAAATTATTCCCAGTGTATTTTGGTCTTTTTGCTGTCCAAGAATTCACTGCGAGACTGTTCTTCCGCTGCGATTTCCCCTCTGTCCCGTTGCTGTGCATGTTTGTGCTTGTCCACAGTCTGTGTAGGTTCTAGTGGGAGAGTGCGTAGGGAGAGGGAAATGACTCGCTCAGAGAGAGGATAAAAAGGCACAAGAAGAAGAGAGCGCGCGCTGAGCGTGTGTCTCGGCGGCAATGTCTGTGGGCTAGAAAGAGCAAGAGCGACTTTGGAACTGCGTCTCTGAAGGATGGCTTGGCATTGCTCAGAGAGCAGCTCCGTTATTGTAGTAGAACCAAACATAGAACGTAGAGCAAAAGTGCAATGAGAGCCCGACATGCGAGTGTACAAAAACCTTAGTCAAGACTTTGTTCTTCGTTGACTTTGACTTGGTTCCCTGTGGATGATTTATGTATGTATGTATGGATAACTCAATCGTTCACTTAACTAAAACTATACACGAGACAACCTTCTGGGCAAAGACCTTTTTGGATCCCCTCATCAACAACCAAAAAACTTTTTGTTTTAAGTGTTTTGTTTATCGTTTATTCAAAAAAAAAAAGTGTCGAAGCCTTGAGTGCAGTGAAACTTGCACAGAAAATAGCAAAATCATTGAAACTTGATCTCTCCTTCTCTTTCTCTCGCTCGGTGCCTGCTCCCTTAGGTCTCTAGATGTCTCTGTCTCTGGGCTCGGAGTTTTGTGGGCGGTTCAAAGGGGGCGGTGCTAAGAAATTTGTACACAATTCGGATTCGATTCGGAGCTTGTTGTTCTACGAAATGCAAATCCACACTTTGACGGCAGCAAAATGCGAATGTCCCGCCTTCAGAATCTCTCGATGGATATGGATGGGTGCACGGATGATGAGGGTCGTCAACGCAGAGTCGTCGTGGATGTGAGATGTGTCGACTCCTTAGTGCAGGTATCCGTGTCCGAGGCCAGCGTATCCCAGACTGCCGTAGCTGCCGTATCCGCCATAGCTGCCGTATCCGCCGTGGTAGGTGGAGGTGGTGTGCAGGGCCGGGGAGGCGTGCACCAGAGGGGCGGAGTGGATGAGGGGGGCGGCGTGCACCAGGGGAGCGGCGTGCACCACGGGGTAGGCCTTGGTGGCCACCTTGTAGGTGTTGGCGTACGAAGTGGCCACCGGGTGGTGGGCCACAATGGGGGCGGCGTAGCTCTTGATGATCGGGGCGTGCGAGATCACGGCCGGGGCGTAGGCGGGAGCCAGGGCGGCACCGTATCCCAGTCCATAGCCATGGCTATAGGGCGAGATCAGTCCGGCGTTGGCAACGGCGCACAGGGCGGACACGAGGGCGATCTACAGTGTACAGTGGAGTAGTGTCTATAAGCAATATAATCCTTGGGTCCTCTGGGCGCTGTATCCTTACCAGTTTGAACATTTTGCTGGTTGGTTTTTGGGGTTTCTTCTGTGCGAAAGACTTCTTGACTGAAGAGCTGACTGTGTTATGCTTAGACGTCTCGTGTTGTCGTGTTATTTATACCCGATTCGACCCGACCCGAAACATGAGAAATATTCTGACAAATCATGGCCAGAAGAGCAACAGAGAGGGCAACACCAGTACCCATTCAGAGAGAGACAGAGGCAGCGACAGATCGGAGGCAAAGATCGGGCGAGCGTGAACGCCCCTGTCAGCAGCCGAGAGCCGAGGCTTTGTGCATTCGCCGACACCGCCGCCGACACCGCCCGAGAGATCGCGAAAGAGATCATTCGAGACTCGCCAGAGCCAGAGGTAGAGGCAGACCCAACCACAGTCCCAGCTTTTCATGGAAAAACCTCTTTGGATTTGCCATTTAATTCAATTTGTACTTTTTCGGCTTCCATTGTTGGCTTCCACTTGGAAGGGGAGTGGATGGGTGGTGGGGGGAGGGAAGGGAAGGGTGTGGACTTAAATCCATTCTCATCGAGATTCGTGTGTGGAAATTAGCAATTGTCTTTCGGCGGTTCAGTTCTAAGGGAATTTCCCTCTTGAATGCTTTATTTGTGGTGGAAATTAGTTAATTAAACTTGTACACACGATCAAGGAAGGTGTCCAAGAAGGAACGAACCCTTTATGGGACTCCTCTTTCAAGCTCAAGCGCTTTTAGTACCCAAACAAATAATAATAATAAATAACACCTAAATACTCCCCCCCATGCAACATGCAACATTAAACATGCATCACATGCTATGACATTTGTGATTAGCTGATCTCTAAATCCTTTCTAAAACGCCTTTGATTATCAATCAGCCTGGCCGGCTGGCTGGCTAACTGACAGCTCATTACAGATCCGATCCGTAGGTGTGGAAAATGTGGTTGCTCCAATCGGAGGCAGGCAGGCAGGCAGCCAGGCAGCCAGGCAGCCAGGCAGCAGCCTCTCCACGCACCGCAAAACGCTCCGTGAAAAATTGGCCACTTTAATAACTGACAACAATTTGTGGAACGAATTGGAGTGGAGTGCAATTGTGGTGTGCTGTGCTGTGGTGCAGTTGGTCAGTGGTTCGGTGGTTCGGTGGACAGCTGGTTTGCATGCATTAATTTTTAAACTGATTTCTTATCGCTTTCGGCTGGGGGCAGGCATGGCGTATGCGTAACTTGGTTGTAAAGAAAATCAATTGCCAATGCAAGTAAATCATATTTGCCGGATTTCGGATTTCGGATTTCTGAATTGGGCATTTGCGGATTTGTGATTTGGGATTTGGAATTGCCTGCCAGATTTCCTAATAGCCATTCTTAATTTCCTCTCAGCAGTCGCACGTATCGTATCGTATCAAAAGATCTTCTGTCCAAGAAGTGTACAAAGAATTGCGAAATATTGTCACCTGAGTTCGCGAACCTTGAGCTGAAGTTTTTGAATTGAAGTTTTGAATCGAATTCAGCGTTCGATTCAGAGTTAGATTCAGATTCAGAGTTCTCAGCGGCAAACAAAGCCCGGCTTAAAGTTTATGACTCATAAATCAATAAACCTTTTGGCCTGAAGTGGGGACAATTCATTCTTTCGCTTTGACCCTGGACATCGCTGCTTGATTGGCTTCGAGTGCGAGTTTATGGAAAATATGCATATCAACGAGGCTTAAACTAAATCAAGCACAGCCCCAGCCACGGCCGAAGCAGTCGAAAGCAAACCCTTCACCAGGCCAACACCTATTGGCTATCGCCTATCGGTGTCTGGGGAGACCCGGGGCGTTATGCAAATCGCTGCCAAATTGTCGCATAAATCTAAATCGGACGAGGCTTGATTGACACAAAACAGGATGCCAAATTGCGTGGCTAACGATTGATCCATTGATCCATGGGGCCACTGCCTGCCACCCACTCTGTGCGATTGTGGTTCGGATTCGGATTCGGGTTCGGATTGCAGCCGGTGGTCAGAGCTGGGGCCTCTTGTGGCCTGTAATTGCATTTTAATGGCCTCCCAATTGCATTCTGTGTGTGTGCGCCTGCCTGCCTGCCTTCCATTGGGCAATGCCCCCACAGTCCCCATGCATTCGATGGCGATGCCGATGCCGATTCCGATTTCCCAAGCACAACGCCCAAAAAACTTTGATTGCCAACAAATCATTCAAAAAGTTGAAATTAAAAGCCGTCAATTTTCCAACTCAAGTGAGTTTCGGGTCTACTTTTTTCTCCCCAGTCATGATTTATGCGATATTTCTGTGGAAATCGTCAAAGTAGACAGATTTCTCGGAAGAAAAATGAAATTTCACAAGTCGGAAATTTTCGTGAAATTTTCTTGAAATCAGATCAAAGATTTCACGGCTTAGAAAGAGGAGAAGGAGATTCGGTTTAGTTGCATTCCATTAACACGATGACCGCAAAAAGTTATTGTTTAATTTCGTTTAATTTGATATAGTTGTGCTAGAGTTTTGCATAATTGTGGGTTCGGTGGTTGGTCACCAGCCAATTTGCATTTCCATGTATTCACATACTCGCATACATACATATTACATTGTATGTATGTATGTATGTGCTCTGGTGACTCCCAGCCGTGTGACTCGAGTGTGTCCAATTAAGTATTAAGTATACCACATGGTGGACGGACGCTACGCGGTCAAGGTCGTGCTTACCCCAGTACTGTCGCAATGTCGTGCACATTACAATGTACACTCGTACTACACCAGCGACCGACAACAACACTTTCAATTACATGTTTTATAATGATTAATAATCCGAGAAGCAACAGCAACAGCAACAGCTGCAAACTGTAACAAACAATGGCCAACCGAGAGCCAAGACTGCAGAAATTGGCAAGGGATCGTTGGAGCACCGAATGGCTGATGGGTGGATACTCTTCTAGGGTTATTCATTTGAGAGTGAGTCAACTCTCCGAGTGTTCAAGGGCTTCTCACATTTCTATCTACCTTCCATTAGTCACACTTTACGTACACACATCATAGGAAAGAGACTCTTTGCTTCTTGCAGGGCATTCATCAATGCTTTGAGGAATGCTTTTCCGCCGACTGCTGGGGGCATGGCAAATGTCGAGCAGGCACCGCTGTGAAGAGCTCTGTACACACACACACACACACACACACACCTAAAAGACAGACAGCCAGAAAGACGGCCACATTTTCATTAATGGAATTAAAGTGAGCTACTTTTCCCACTCTTCCCCTCCGCCATTACACCCCCTCCCCGCCTTTGGGGCTACCGCATTTTTAGTCGGAGATCTTTTACCTTCAGACCGAGACTCAGATTCAGATTCGAGGTTGGGCCAGCGATTATCATTTGTAAAATTGGTTTCACTTTTTAGTTCTTTTTCGTTTGTTAGTTTTTCTTTTTGTTTCTGCTTGGGGACATTGCGCAACGTGGGGCTTAGAGCACGTACATGGTTTCTGTTTCTCTGTTGCTCTGCCTGTTGCATGCCAAAAACTATTCCGGACACAGATCCATTTGACAGCTCCGGTGAGTATTCCCCCGATTGTCAATGCAAATTCACCGAAATTCGCATCATAATTAAGTGGTTTAAACGCGGCTGCAACCACAGGCAAAGGCACAGCCACTGGCACTGGCACTGGCACTGGCACAGCTACCATATCGAGAACGGGACACGCCCCTTTTTGTGGCTCGTAAATTAAAGCGGCAAACGCCTTGCCTTGCAGCATTCTGTGTTTTGTTTTTATCACCAAATTGTATGCAAATTGTTCTTCGACTCAATGACGGACGGATCCAAAGAGATTTATGTTACCGAAATAATGGGGTTTTAATTGAATTTACTTTTCATGTGGGTGCCTCCTCCTGTACTTCTGTGCTCCCCCCCTCCTCTCCCGATACCCTCGATTCCCTCGTTCGTTGCTTGTCTAATGCATCTAATTAGACTTTCACTTTTTTGCCTTTTGCTGCCACTCGTATTGTCTGGGATTGTCTGTAGCTCTGCGATTGTTCTAGAGAGCAGAATCGTTGACTTTTGTGGTTACTCACCCTGAACTTGGGCCTGGGCTTTGGCTGATTGGAAATCAAATTACGACGCCCAGATCCAGATACAGACACGATTGTAGAACACTTGTCGAGGGAGTCATAACGCGGTGGATAGAGGTGGCAATGGATTCCGACACGAGTCGCTCGGTTCTAAGAGACGTTTCCCATTCAGAGGTGGTTCTGGTCTAACACTCCCCAAGACTCCAACACGAATCTATCGCCCCATCACGCTTTGATCTCCAAATGCTCCGCTTTATTCGTTCTATGCCACGGGCTGTGTTTCTCACAGCAAAAAGCTGAAATCAGCGTGAGTCTGCTCGGAGCTCGGAGCTCGGAGCTGCTTTGGGAACTGCGGATAACTATAAAAAGTCAATTAGACTTAATGATAGCATAGCCGCAGCTAAACATTAAATTCATGTACGTAAATTACACACAGAAAGAATACAGAGAACAAAGATGAAAAAAACAAAAACAACATGCGCAAGAAAAGTAATAAAAACCAAAACGGATTCGATTTCAGGGCAAGAGACAGCTAGCAAGCAGCTAACAGAAAACAGCCAGAGACCAAACCAAACACAATGTCGACTCCACTTTGGATTCTGTGGATTCTGTACGTAATCGAGGAAGTTGTTTGGGGCCTCTGTCGCTGTTTCTGTCTCTGCTGTCTCTGGTGTCTCCACCTCTACGGGCTGTAATAGCTCCGCTCCGACTGCAGTCGGCAAAAAGTGGTTCGCAGCAGTGCGTCTGGTTTTGTATAATTCAGTCATTAAAATTAATAAGACAATGCAGATTGCAGATCACAGATCACACGCCCCAAAAAACAAAACACTCACAGAGCACCTTGTTGGCGCCGCAAGAACTGGCCAAACGAGGCATTTGGCAAACGTTTAGGCCTGGAGGCGGATGTGGGATGTGGATGTGCCGACTATTACAGATCTAATTACATGGCGTATGAGTGATTTTAAATGGTGTCGTGGCCAGTCACACCGATAAGGCCATGGGGCTGGGATAAGACCCCAGATTAGCCGTACTCATAGCCGCCTTCTCCCGCCTTCCTCCTCTCTCTCTGCATTTGCAGCTAATTAAGTTGCATGTTGCTGTTGACAGGCATTCAGATACAGATACTCGCACTCAGACTCGCACTCGTTCGAATGCAGGCAGACAGACAGCTGGACAGATACACGCAACACCCGAATCGGAGCCAATCCCAGTGGACTGGACAGAGTCGCTTTCTGTTAGCCCAACTATTTGTCCATATTTCGTTAAAGTTCTCAGCAACTTGGGGATTGTCCATAGCCATTGAAGTTGCTGTTTAACTCTGAAAGATGTTTTGTATTCATTTCCTTATAGAACTAAAGTGCCTCAATCCAAGATCTGATTTCTTGAAATCAATTAGGCCCCTGCTTCAGTTGGGTTGGACTGAAGCAAAGCCTAAATTTATTGTATTGTACGAAATTCCGCATTGGTTTGCTTTGGCTTTTGGCCAGACATTCCACTAATCGAATCATTTACAATTCCCACTGCCTTTTTGTGGCTGATTAACTCTAGTAATACCCTGTTTACACTTGGCTTGAGCTATTCAGTCATTGAGTTTGGGCAAAGTTCAAGTTTGTACATGGGATGGGCATAAAGCCCTTGCCCTGGGTGCGTTTGTTCGATTTCCCGAATATTTCAGCCCTGTTCTGCCTACCGTGAGAACTATCACCACTAGAAAAACAGCAACCAAATTATGGCTGCGGGAAAAGGTGCGAATATACAATTAAGATAATATTTTATTGATATTATTCAATCGCGGTGGGCTGGTAAGTGTAGGAACAATATGTTTTAGCCTCGAGGCTTGATCTCGACTGATGTACGAGTATGCTGTTGCTGCCTTAAGTTAGGTCTGGCTGCTGCGATTCTTCTTCTCTGCTGTGCTCTCCTTCTTCCGTTGCAGCTTGTCTGCTGTTTATCTGTTGCTTATCCCGTTTTGCTGTTACTCTGCTGTTTCTAACCCCTGATCCTTCAATGGACCAGCTTGCCCACGCCTTCCTACACACATGTAATCGATAAAGCAAATACTTTAAACAATTTTGTCGGAAACACACCCACGCATCAGCCCTCAAGAACTCAGTAATTCTCACGAATCGACTCATTTATCGATCGTTATCCTATAACGAGTCATCGAGCAGTTCGCCTGTTAACATATCAAAATTCCCTCCACCGTTTGCAAAATGAATAAGATCTGAAAACTATTTAGCAAGTGAACAAATTTGCGAAAATTGCTGCAGCCTCAGCACAGAAAATTGACGAATGTTTTCAGACGTTTATGAACGCCCCCAACGATCATTTATCTAATAATTCAAACTAAATAGCCTATGTTTCCGAGCCAAAGCTTAGAGCTAAACTTTGAAAGCGTGACCAAGAGCTTTCGTTTAAAGATCGATCCCAAAGGTATGCAACGTTTTTTTGAACAGCATTCTAAAGCTTTTCCACGATCTCGATGTGCATGCTACGACCTGACTAGGTCGTTCGTCCGTCGTCCGTCGTCGGTCGTCGGTCGTCGTTCGCCTGTTGCAGCCTCCGATTTCCACTCTTTCTGCTGCAGAACTGGGAATCGTTAGACCCCGTGTTAAGTGCAATTCAAAGATTTATGCCGACTGTTAAACCGTCAAGTGATTTACACCTCGCGGCTGTAAGAATCCGTCTTGGACATGGTTTCGCTTGGCTTGCAGTTGGCTGGGGCCAAAGTAGAGCACAGCCAACACAATAGTAACTGGCGGCAACAGCAACAACAATGGGAGCTACTTGGTTCAGTGATTAAATCGTTTCGGGGCCTGTCTGCCGGTCTGTCTGCCTGTCAGCGGGCTTGGGTTATGAGTATCTTTGGCTTCTGTTTCTACCACTTTTCGTTATGTTTTTCTTCTTAATTAAATTAGGCCCAAGGTCGCCCCCAAATGGGCTGGGAATCTTAGAGCAGGCAGAGGCATTAGGTATATGGTTAATTAACATCAAAGTTGAGAGGCAAACGAGGCATACTCGTGCATATATGGCATATGGTGTCTGATCTGCGTTGGCGGCACCCAGAAATAGCCCCAGAAATAGCCCGGCCGAAAACTACGAGCCAGGAAAAGTCAGTCAGGCGTGGAGGGACTAGAGGCTGGTTATGCAAATGGTTTGCCTCTTTGTGGGGTGTGTGGGGTGTTAGGGGTGTTTAGGGGGGGTGGGGTCCCGATCGGGACCAGTTAACCAGCGCCCAGAGGCTGGCCAGCATCTGTGCGGCAGTCAAGTAGAAGAAATGAACGGGAATCTGGCAGTGGGGGGCTGCAGGGGGGACAGGTGCGAGTGTATTTGTGGGTGGCTTTGTTAGCCTCAAGTCTGACAGCAGCAGCGCATTGCCTTGGTCCAAACTGCTCGCTCAGTTACGCCCAAATGGGTCACTAATGAGGCATCTAGCCATCTGGGGGGCCTGGGAATAATGTGGCCACGGCCAGAAACCCGGCAGACAGCAGAGACACACAACTCTCGCTGATGGCTCGATTGTTTGTGCCAATTCTAACGTAAAGAAGATAATTCCCCCGCCTTTGTGGGGGCTATAAAACCAGAGCGTCTTCTTCGTAGCCAAAACACAGTCGACCCACAGTTCACCCAACGAAGATGTTCAAAATTGTGAGTGTTCCCTCGAAAAGAGCCAAAGCCAACGCCAAAGCCAAGCCAAATATATCCTTCGGAGTCAACTAATCCTTTGGACCGCCTCTTCCCCCAGCTGTTTCTTTTGTGTGCAGTTTACGCCGCCCTGAGCCAGGCTCGTCCCAGCTACCTGCACGGCTACGACGCCCTGGAGTACGCCCCCAGTGTGGTGGGGTATGAGAGCCTGGCCCTGCCGGCGGCCGTCTCCCACCAGAGCTCGACGGTGGTGCACGAGAAGCGTCCCTACTGGCGGCCCATTGTCGATCACCACTCGCCGCTGCTGCGGGCCTCCTACGCCCCAGTGTCCTCCATCTCCTATGCCCCGCTGGGATATGCCGCAGGCAGTGCCGGCTGGTACGAGCCGGGCGCCGGAGTCGGGGCCTGGGGCGGATCCCTCGGTGGGGGCTACGAGAGCATCTACCTGAAGTAGAGGATCCACCCCATGGATAATAGTTGGATAAAATATCGCAGCACCTCAGATTGGATTTTTTTTTTCTTTTTTTTTCAGTGTATAATAATAAAGTTTGAGAATCTATAAAAACCCAATTGCTGCCATTCCATGCTCATCCTGCGGTAGCCACATGAGCCGTTTGTCTTCCTTGACCGCCTCCTGGTTAGGGTACGCCATAAGCTTTACGCCAGTTTGGATCCCCGCACGTTTTTCTTTGGATTGGGCAACGGCGTTGGGTGAGCGAGGCCCCCTCTTCAGCTTTTCCCTTTGCAAGACCTGCTGGCCTGTCGAGCTGAAGTTTCTGTTGCAGTCGGGGGCATCGAAGCTGCCCCGAGCCTTAAGCCTAAAGTCTGTGGCGATGGGGTTGACGCCATCTGCGAACGGCTCCTGGCGGTGCTCGGCCTGGAACCCAAATAACATATTAACTGTAATGCCGCAAGAGGAAATGTTGGCCAACACCTGGAACAACATGACATCCTCATTGGAAGGCACAACAGCCACTCGCATGTCCACATTCCTCAGCAGGTGCTCAATGTATTCCGAAAATATTGAAGTATTATCCCGAGTATTGAACAGTCGTAGGAACATCTGCGGCATCTTTTGCGGCTCTGTTGTCAGCGTGTGGGCCACCTCCTCCAACCACGAAACCAATGACCGGTAACGGGACTTCGCCAAATGGCGGAAAAATGCTGGCCAACTCAAATTTTATATCGATTTGCTTTATTTCTTTCGCGGGACGGACACAAGTCAACAAGGAACTGTTCAAAATCTTTCGTTCTCGGTATCTCACTTTTTACCAGGCGTGGGCGGCGTATGTGAGGGGGGCGTGGTACTGGACAGGAGCAGCGGCATAGGCCACGGGCGAGGAGTAGGCCACGGGGTGGGAGTAGGCCAGAGGAGAGGCGTAAGCTACGGGCGCAGAGTATGTCAGCGGTGCGGAGTAGGCCACAGGAGCAGCAGCCACGGTCTTGACGAGGGGAGCGGCAGCCACAAGGGGAGCGGAGTGGACGGCGGTCGTCCGCACGACTGGGGCAACCACATCCTCCACCACCGGGGTGCTGTGCACCTGGGTGAGGCTCTGGTGGGAGACGGCGGTGGGCACGCTCTTCACGACGGCTCCGATCTTGGCTAGCGACGACTCCTGGACGATGGTCGTGGCTGGGGCGCTGTAGACGAGGGGAGCGGCAGCCAGATGGCCGGGCTTGGCGGCGGCAACGGCCAGCAGAGCAGCGAGAACGAACTGGCGGATCGGAGAGAGATCGGAGGGAATCAGTTAGAGATCGTAATCCTTGTTGGCCATCCATTGGGGATCCTTACCAATTTGAACATTTTGACGGGGGCTTTCTTTGGGCTTCTTTGACGTGTGTCGTGTCGAAGAGATGGACTTGGAGTGTGATTCGCTGAGGGACTGTCAATCTCTTTTATACTCGCACTTGAACTTCACTTTGGCTTGCTTTCGGTGTTTCTCCCACACAGATACCCACCCATACAGGGACAGCTCACGCACACGCATACGCATTGTCCATTGTCCATTGAGGCGGATACAATCGGCGGTCGGTCGAACGTGCCTGAACGGATTCTTGTCTCTTTTTTCTCCGTCTGTTTACTGGGTTGTTGGCCACAAACCAGATTATTATTATTCGGAGCCGATCTCTGCTCTCTGGCACTCTTTTCTTCCCCTTCCAGTAATTCGAGTGCCAGTAATTACTTCACTTATTTTCGGCCTCGCACTTGTTTCGGGCCAAAGCCGAACCCAAACCCACTCTTGTTTTCGTTTCAATTCTGGGGCTGCCGCTTTAGTGGCGCACGTACCCGTTCTGGAAGGGGCTTTAAATCTGAAAGGAGAACGAGCCAAGGGTCCACAGCAGACTTGTTCCAAGAACTTCATCGCGTAAATAACGCGATGGGAGAGAGCGAAAATCAGAATCGCATCAGTCAAGGCCACCTGGCAGCCGACAACTTTCCAGGAAACTTTTGCCGGCTTGAGTTTCCATTATCTAAATGCAGACAAGGTGCAAATAAGTCAAAGATTTTCCTGGAAAATGAATGGGAACTTTGAAGGCGGGCCACTGATAACGCTTCGGGAAATCTCTTTACTGCAAATGGCTCTCATTCACAACAGGGAAAAAATGCATTTTTAGAAATACTTAAAGTACTTTTCACTGTTGTGAGGTTTCTTCTCAGTGTGGGGCTGCACTACAGCGACTTGGTGCCAGAGATCAAGGTCCCAGGTCCTGCCATCTCGGGGCCATGTATATGTATATTGCGGCCAACGGAGCCATCGGTCGAGCACCAGGTCTTTGTGAAGAAATTAGTTGGTTGGTGCCCACTGTGGCAACTGGTTATATAATCCATTAGGAAATTAGATTTCAACTATTTCTATCGTCACTTGTAGTGATACCTGCTGAACGATTCAGCAGTTCATTGACCATCCGGGCCTGTTGTCCTTGAAGCAGCTGGATGCCAATGGTCTTCGAAGAGGTGGAGGCCACCCCCAAAATCTAATTTTCATTCACATACGGACCATAGTACCTTTGAGGCGTGTGCAGGGCACATGTACGATGTTTACCCAGGCTGCAGGTGCAGCAGGAAGTACGTGCCAGGGAGCAATGAACCAGGACATGCCATGACGTCCATCTATTGAACCTCCACCACCCTTGGCACCCTCAGCAGTGCTTAGAATGCACATCACAGGTGCAAAATGGAACCTGTCCTGCATAGATCAAGTCTGATGAATGGCCCATCGAGGAGAGAGGAAACAGGCAGACAATTTTGAAAGCAAAAACATTTATTTTTATTTAAAATTCGTATCACAAAACCGTCCAACAGTCCATGAATCCTGGTCACCTGGAAGCGAATGGTGCGGCGCGGCGCTCTACCACACACCGGTGGCGGTGTAGGTCAGCGGCGAGGAGGCGGCCACTGCAGAATAGTGGCCGGCCACAACGGGAGCGGCGGCCGCATAGCTGGTGTGCACCACTGGGGCGGCAGCGGCGTAAGTCGTCTGGTAAACAGGGGCAGCAGCAGCGTAGCTGGTGTGGACAACGGGGGCAGCATAGGTCTTGACCACGGGGGCGACAACATCCTGGACGACATGGGCAGAGCTGTGGACCACCGACTGGCTCTGGTGGGAGACAGAGGTGGGAACGCTCTTTACCACGGAACCCACATTGGCCAGGTAGGGCTCCTGCACGATGGTTGTGGTAGCCGGGGCGGAATAGACCACGGGGGAGGACTCCAGCAGGTGACCGGGACGGGCTGCAGCTACGGCGAGGAGAGCAGACAATACCACCAACTTGAACATTTTGAAATAGTTTGGTCTGTATTGACTGTTTGGATTGGAGTGATCGGATTGAGCTTCTTGCGAGAACTGTGTGTGGTTGTGGAGCTGCTGCAGTGGTTTTATATAGCTCCCGTTTGGGCAGAGACTTGGCTTTGACCTTCAGGGCCGAGCCACACGCATACGCAGACCACAGTATCGATGTGTGGACCGAAGCCGCGTCACAATTCGAGTCCGAAATCCAACCCATATCAGATTCTGGGCCGCGATCAATAAGCAATTAGCGTCGGTGGACGGCTTAGCCGAGAGCCAATCAAGTACGCAGAGTACAGCGGAGTATAGCAGAGTGGTTCCGAGACCATTAGAGACTCTCGAGGGCCTCTGATGACTCCTCCGCGGCTGCATTACTTGCACTTTGAGTGCGGGAGTCAGGGTCAAGTCAGCGTGCAGTGAGTGTGTGAGCTTTTGGTTTCGGATCACGGGTATTGGGTTCAGTTTTTCTTTCAATTGCAAGTCGTATGTTTTATTGTCCGAGCGAGGGCAGACTTATTTCGCTTTAAAGTCAACTCAACTCAAATCGTACCCGTACTCGTAAATGTTTTAATTAAACTTCTCTTTTCGCAGCTACGACGGCAACGGCGGCTGCGTCGGAAACTGCCCCGAAAATAACGACGATGGATAATGCCCGTACTATATAAGACTGGTCTTTCAGTTGTCCCATTATCAGTCAGCTTCATTCGCTTCCACAGCAGCACAACACAGACCAAAAACACAAAATCCCCTCAACATGTTCAAATTGGTAAGTCATCCATCCGAATCCGAGCGGTCGTCCTCCTCATAGCTAACCTCCTCCATTATTTGTTCCAGGTGGTGTTGTCTGCTCTCCTCGCCGTAGCTGTCGCTCGTCCCGGCCATCTGTATGAGTCTCCGCTGGTCTATTCCGCCCCGGCTACCACAACCATCGTGCAGGAGCCCTACCTGGCCAATGTTGGTTCCGTGGTAAAGAGCGTTCCCACCTCTGTCTCCCACCAGAGCCAGTCGGTGGTCCACAGCTCTGCCCATGTCGTCCAGGATGTTGTCGCTCCCGTGGTGAAGACCTATGCAGCTCCCGTCGTCACCAGCTACGCGGCATCTCCTCTGGTACACACCTCATACGCCTCTCCCCTCGTCCATACTTCCTATGCGGCCACTCCCGTCGTCTACAACGCTGGCTGGTAAGGACGCAGGCTGGAGTACTGGATGCTAGGACAAGCGATCTGGATGGCTAGAAATATAATATTCCTTTTGTACATAAACGAGTTTAATTGCGAATTAAATGTGATTTTCGAAAGTTAAATCTAAACTGTATTTATGGTTATTGGGATATCGGAAACTACTATGAATGGGGAGGTCAAAAGGATAGGTTTGAAAATAGCGCTGAAAACGGAATATCCCTGGCTTTAATCGATCGAGGACATTCTCCCGACTACGAGAAGTCGTGGCACTTCCAGATCGCATGAGAAATGGTGGAGTTATAGCGATTAAAAGTTAAACAGGCATTATCCTTGTTGTTCTTTATGCCTCTAAGCGATCGGCGTAGTACATTCAGATTTGATGAGAAATGGTGGAGCAAAGTAAGTATGTATGAGTGAGGAACATGTCGTTGATCCTTGATAAGGATTCTATCGGGGATGTCTGTTGTTGTTGTCAATCGTTCCATATCAAGCCTCACATAGCGGAGAAAATAAAATAATTTGTATTAGGAAAGGATACGATCCTTAAAAAAGACTCCATAAAAGCAAGGATTTTCACAGGAAGCCATGGCACGGAGATATAGCCGAAGATATAGATTTGCATATCATGCAAATACTGTTTTTTTCTGCAAGCTATATCTCAGCTATACGGCGGCCGATCGGGGCGTGGCATGCCTTGTCGTGACCGGGAGAGTCCTGCCAACCGATTGGCACCAGAAAAAAGGACATCCATTCCATCACGATTTTCGCAAAAAATCATGATGTAACCATCATTGAATTTGCCAAAAATCGGCCCCGTTTTTTTAGTCGAGATTTTGATGCCGTTCGACAGTCTGGACCCTCCCGATCCTGGGACAGTTGGTCCTGCCACTATCTGGCCCTATTTGTCTGAGATATAGCCTTCGGAAGCTTTGGATTTGCACATCATGCAAATACTGGTTTTTTCTGCAAGCTGCGTGGCATGCCTTGTCGTGACCGGGAGAGTCCTGCCAACCGATTGGCACCAGAAAAAAGGACATCCATTCCATCACGATTTTCGCAAAAAATCATGATGTAACCATCATTGAATTTGCCAAAAATCGGCCCCGTTTTTTTAGTCGAGATTTTGATGCCGTTCGACAGTCTGGACCCTCCCGATCCTGGGACAGTTGGTCCTGCCCCGATCTGGCCCTATTTGTCTGAGATATAGCCTTCCGAAGATAAGGATTTGCATATCATGCAAATACTGGTTTTTTCTGCAAGCTATATCTCAGCTATACGGCGGCCGATCGGGGCGTGGCATGCCTTGTCGTGACCGGGAGAGTCCTGCCAACCGATTGGCACCAGAAAAAAGGACATCCATTCCATCACGATTTTCGCAAAAAATCATGATGTAACCATCATTGAATTTGCCAAAAATCGGCCCCGTTTTTTTAGTCGAGATTTTGATGCCGTTCGACAGTCTGGACCCTCCCGATCCTGGGACAGTTGGTCCTGCCACGATCTGGCCCTATTTGTCTGAGATATAGCCTTCGGAAGCTTTGGATATGCACATCATGTAAATACTGTTTTTTTCTGCAAGCTATATCTCAGCTATACGGCGGCCGATCAGGGCGTGGTATGCCTTGTCGTGACCGGGAGAGTCCTGCCAACCGATTGGCACCAGAAAAAAGGACATCCATTCCATCACGATTTTCGCAAAAAATCATGATGTAACCATCATTGAATTTGCCAAAAATCGGCCCCGTTTTTTTAGTCGAGATTTTGATGCCGTTCGACAGTCTGTACCCTCCCGATCCTGGGACAGTTGGTCCTGCCCCGATCTGGCCCTATTTGTCTGAGATATAGCCTTCCGAAGATAAGGATTTGCATATCATGCAAATACTGGTTTTTTCTGCAAGCTATATCTCAGCTATACGGCGGCCGATCGGGGCGTGGCATGCCTTGTCGTGACCGGGAGAGTCCTGCCAACCGATTGGCACCAGAAAAAAGGACATCCATTCCATCACGATTTTCGCAAAAAATCATGATGTAACCATCATTGAATTTGCCAAAAATCGGCCCCGTTTTTTTAGTCGAGATTTTGATGCCGTTCGACAGTCTGGACCCTCCCGATCCTGGGACAGTTGGTCCTGCCACTATCTGGCCCTATTTGTCTGAGATATAGCCTTCGGAAGCTTTGGATTTGCACATCATGCAAATACTGGTTTTTTCTGCAAGCTATATCTCAGCTATACGGCGGCCGATCAGGGCGTGGCATGCCTTGTCGTGACCGGGAGAGTCCTGCCAACCGATTGGCACCAGAAAAAAGGACATCCATTCCATCACGATTTTCGCAAAAAATCATGATGTAACCATCATTGAATTTGCCAAAAATCGGCCCCGTTTTTTTAGTCGAGATTTTGATGCCGTTCGACAGTCTGGACCCTCCCGATCCTGGGACAGTTGGTCCTGCCCCGATCTGGCCCTATTTGTCTGAGATATAGCCTTCCGAAGATAAGGATTTGCATATCATGCAAATACTGGTTTTTTCTGCAAGCTATATCTCAGCTATACGGCGGCCGATCAGGGCGTGGCATGCCTTGTCGTGACCGGGAGAGTCCTGCCAACCGATTGGCACCAGAAAAAAGGACATCCATTCCATCACGATTTTCTCAAAAAATCATGATGTAACCATCATTGAATTTGCCAAAAATCGGCCCCGTTTTTTTAGTCGAGATTTTGATGCCGTTCGACAGTCTGTACCCTCCCGATCCTGGGACAGTTGGTCCTGCCACGATCTGGACCTATTTGTCTGAGATATAGCCTTCCGAAGATAAGGATTTGCATATCATGCAAATACTGGTTTTTTCTGCAAGCTATATCTCAGCTACACGGCGGCCGATCAGGGCGTGGCATGCCTTGTCGTGACCGGGAGAGTCCTGCCAACCGATTGGCACCAGAAAAAAGGACATCCATTCCATCACGATTTTCGCAAAAAATCATGATGTAACCATCATTGAATTTGCCAAAAATCGGCCCCGTTTTTTTAGTCGAGATTTTGATGCCGTTCGACAGTCTGGACCCTCCCGATCCTGGGACAGTTGGTCCTGCCACGATCTGGCCCTATTTGTCTGAGATATAGCCTTCGGAAGCTTTGGATATGCACATCATGTAAATACTGTTTTTTTCTGCAAGCTATATCTCAGCTATACGGCGGCCGATCAGGGCGTGGTATGCCTTGTCGTGACCGGGAGAGTCCTGCCAACCGATTGGCACCAGAAAAAAGGACATCCATTCCATCACGATTTTCGCAAAAAATCATGATGTAACCATCATTGAATTTGCCAAAAATCGGCCCCGTTTTTTTAGTCGAGATTTTGATGCCGTTCGACAGTCTGGACCCTCCCGATCCTGGGACAGTTGGTCCTGCCCCGATCTGGCCCTATTTGTCTGAGATATAGCCTTCCGAAGATAAGGATTTGCATATCATGCAAATACTGGTTTTTTCTGCAAGCTATATCTCAGCTATACGGCGGCCGATCAGGGCGTGGCATGCCTTGTCGTGACCGGGAGAGTCCTGCCAACCGATTGGCACCTGAAAAAAGGACATCCATTCCATCACGATTTTCGCAAAAAATCATGATGTAACCATCATTGAATTTGCCAAAAATCGGCCCCGTTTTTTTAGTCGAGATTTTGATGCCGTTCGACAGTCTGGACCCTCCCGATCCTGGGACAGTTGGTCCTGCCCCGATCTGGCCCTATTTGTCTGAGATATAGCCTTCCGAAGATAAGGATTTGCATATCATGCAAATACTGGTTTTTTCTGCAAGCTATATCTCAGCTATACGGCGGCCGATCAGGGCGTGGCATGCCTTGTCGTGACCGGGAGAGTCCTGCCAACCGATTGGCACCAGAAAAAAGGACATCCATTCCATCACGATTTTCTCAAAAAATCATGATGTAACCATCATTGAATTTGCCAAAAATCGGCCCCGTTTTTTTAGTCGAGATTTTGATGCCGTTCGACAGTCTGTACCCTCCCGATCCTGGGACAGTTGGTCCTGCCACGATCTGGACCTATTTGTCTGAGATATAGCCTTCCGAAGATAAGGATTTGCATATCATGCAAATACTGGTTTTTTCTGCAAGCTATATCTCAGCTACACGGCGGCCGATCAGGGCGTGGCATGCCTTGTCGTGACCGGGAGAGTCCTGCCAACCGATTGGCACCAGAAAAAAGGACATCCATTCCATCACGATTTTCGCAAAAAATCATGATGTAACCATCATTGAATTTGCCAAAAATCGGCCCCGTTTTTTTAGTCGAGATTTTGATGCCGTTCGACAGTCTGTACCCTCCCGATCCTGGGACAGTTGGTCCTGCCACGATCTGGACCTATTTGTCTGAGATATAGCCTTCCGAAGATAAGGATTTGCATATCATGCAAATACTGGTTTTTTCTGCAAGCTATATCTCAGCTACACGGCGGCCGATCAGGGCGTGGCATGCCTTGTCGTGACCGGGAGAGTCCTGCCAACCGATTGGCACCAGAAAAAAGGACATCCATTCCATCACGATTTTCGCAAAAAATCATGATGTAACCATCATTGAATTTGCCAAAAATCGGCCCCGTTTTTTTAGTCGAGATTTTGATGCCGTTCGACAGTCTGGACCCTCCCGATCCTGGGACAGTTGGTCCTGCCACTATCTGGCCCTATTTGTCTGAGATATAGCCTTCGGAAGCTTTGGATTTGCACATCATGCAAATACTGGTTTCTTCTGTACGCTATATCTCGGCTGTAGGGCGGCCGATCGGGGCGTGGCATGTCTTTTCGTGACCGGGAGAGTCCTGCCAACCGATTGGCACCAGAAAAAAGGACATCCATTCCATCACGATTTTCGCAAAAAATCATGATGTAACCATCATTGAATTTGCCAAAAATCGGCCCCGTTTTTTTAGTCGAGATTTTGATGCCGTTCGACAGTCTGGACCCTCCCGATCCTGGGACAGTTGGTCCTGCCACGATCTGGCCCTATTTGTCTGAGATATAGCCTTCGGAAGCTTTGGATATGCATATCATGCAAATACTGGTTTTTTCTGCAAGCTATATCTCAGCTATACGGCGGCCGATCAGGGCG